GCTCAGAGGGCTGTAGCACCTCTCCCATGAGGAAAGGCTGAGGCAGCTGGGCTTCTCAGCTTGGAGAAGAGAAGGCTTCAGAGGGAGCCTGTTGTGGCGTTCTAGTACTTGTGGGGATTTTATAAGCAGGAGAGAAACTTTTAACGTGGTCTAATAGTGATAAGAGAGAGGGGCTTTAAACTATGCATAAAAGAGGGAAGATTCAGGTTAGATGTTAGGAGGAAATTCTTTACTCAGGGGAGGTGACGCATTAACACTGGCTGCCCAGAGAACTTGTGGAGCCTATTCTCTACATACAGCCCTCCTGGGGTTTTATTCAGCAGAGAGGAAGGGAGACACACAGAGGCAGGCACCCGAATGAGATCTCAGTTATGTTGATCCAGGCCTTGCAGCTTTACGAGCACAGAACATGCAGCACAGCTCGCAGAGCAGTTCAGTAGCCTCTCCACGCTGTCAGCTTCTCCAACCCAGACAACAGCACACTGTTCTGGCTCACAAGTTTTACAAAGCCTTTTCTTCCTGGAGGAAGCTGTTGCTGGCTTCAGACAAACAACCCATGGCTCCTAAGAGCATGTATCCAGAGAGGATTTTCCAGGAAGGACCACAGTTCAGTATGGTTCTGTGCTTTTACAGCTCTCAAATGGGTTACAGCATTAAAGTCCATTTTAACACCAGTACTCAATAAGGAAGAAAAACAAAACATCATGAAAGAAAAAAAGAACTTTAACTTGGTTGTCCTCTGCTACTCTGCTCTCACGAGGCTCCATAGGGAGTACTGTGTCCAAGCCCAGGGAGCTTTTGAAGTAGGTCTATAGGAGGCCGTAAAGATGCTCAGACCTCCTCTTCTGTGAATAAAGACTGAGCTTGTCTAGATACCCGTTGCGGATTACAAGAACCTCACTAGGGTGTGCAGAAATGCAGAAGGCTAAGGAACTGAAGTTTTCTTAAGATGCCGAGAACAGGAAGAACAGATATTTGAGCAGTAAGCATAACCACAGGGAAGACATAAACACACAGGTAATGTCAAGGCAGAGATTCTCAATAGCTGTTGTCTCTGTCTCTAGCAGCATAGCTGGACCACAGGTCACAGGATTGAGTAGCACACCAGTGTGTGTTGATTCACCAGTAGTGGTGGAGGGTCTGGCATGCAGCCTCTGGCAGGGGTTCAGCCCATGTAAATCACAGCTGCAGACAGATCCATTCCAGGGTGTTAAGAGAAGTGGTTGGTATTGTTGCAAGGCCACTATTTCTAATACGGGTCCAGTGTTTTGGCTTGCCTGGGCTGCAGTAAGAGAAGAGGAATTGTCTGTGGATAAAGACTGGGGGAAGGCCTGTAGGGGCAATGTCTTGTTGGAGGTCTGTTATAGACTGCCTAATCAGGATGAAGAGATGGATGAGGCATTATGTGAGCAGCTTGCAGAAGTCGTGCAATCACCAGCACTCATTCTCATGGAAGACTTCAACTTCCCTGATATATGTTGGAAATATAATACAGCACAGAGGAAGCAGTCCAAGAATTTTCTAGAGCGTGTGGAAGATAGCTTCCTTATACAGCTGGTAGGAGAGCCTACCAGTGGTGGTGCCCTGCTAGACCTGCTCTTTGCTAGCAGAGAAGGACTGGTAGGAGAAATGAACGTTGGGGACCATCTTGGGCAGAATGACCATGAAATTGTAGAATTCTCTATTCTTGGTGATGTCAGAAGGGTGACTGGCAAAACTGTTATCTTGAACTTCAAGAGGGTGAATTTTGACCTGTTCAGGACGCTTGTAGCACGGGTCCCTTGGGAGTTGCTCCTTAAGGGTAAAGGTGTCCAGGAAGCCTAGACGCTCCTCAAGATGGAAATCTTAAGGCACAAGAACAGGCTGTTCCTGAGTGCCGTAAAGCAAGCCGTAGGGGATGAAGTGTGGATGGTGTGGATGAACCGGGAGCTATTGTTGAGTCTCTGGAAGAAAAAGAGAGTCTGCGTCCTCTGGAAGAAGGGACAGGCTGCTTGGGGTGATTACAAGCAAGTTGCTAAGGTATGCAGGGATGAAGTTAGGAGGACAAAAGCCCAACTTGAACGCAGATTGGCCACTGCAGTAAAAGAAAATAAGAAATCCTTTTACAAATATATCAATGGTAAGAGAAGAACCAAGGAGAATTTCCATCTTTTACTTGATGTAACGGGGAATGTGACCACTGAGGATAAGGAGAAGACTGAGGTCCTTAATGCCTTCTTTACATCTGCCTTTAATAGGCAGATCAGTTATCCTCAGGGCACTTTACGCCATGATCTGGAAGTCTGGGATGCTACGCAGAATACCCCCCCCCATGATTCAGATGGAGGCGGTTAGAGAGCTCCTCCTCCTTCTAGACTGTCACAAGTCCATGGAACCGGACGGGCTTTATCGTAGGGTGCTGAGGGAGCTGGCAGGGGTGATTGCTGAGCCGCTCTCTGCCATCCACCAGCGCTCCTGGTTAACTGGTGAGGTCTCAGAGGATTGGGGGCTTGCTGATGTGACTCCCCTCTACAAGAAGGGCCATGAAGAGAATCTGGGGAACTACAGGCCTGTCAGCCTGACCTCGGTACCAGGGAAAATTATGGAGCAAATCATCTCGGGTGAGATCACACGTGTGTGGCATCCAAGATCCCAGCCAGCACGGGTTCATGAAAGGCAGGTCGTGCCTGACCAACCTCATCTCTTTCTACGACTGGGTGACCAGCCTGATAGATGAGGAAAAGGCTGTTGATGTAGTGCACTTCAGCAAAGCCTTTGATCACAGTATTCTCCTGGGGAAACTGGCCTGGACAGGTCTACCCTTCTTTGGGTAAGGAACTGGATGGAGGGCTGTGCCCAGCAGGTAATGGTTAATGGAGCTAAGTCCAGCTGATGACCCGTTTCAAGTGGTGTCCCCCAGGGGTCGGTACTGGAGCCCATCCTGTTTAATATCTTTATTGATGATCTAGATGAGGGCATTGAGTGCACCCTCAGTAAGTTTGCAGATGGCACCAAGCTGGGAGGTGGTGTCGATCTGCCTGAGGGTAGGGCGGCCCTTCAGAGGGGTTTAGACAGGCTGGACTGCTGGGCTGAGGTGAATGGGATGAGGTTGAACAAGGCCGAGTGCCGGGTCCTGCACTTTGGCCACAACAACCCCATGCAGCACTATAGGCTTGGGGATGAGTGGCTGGATGAGTGTGAAGAAGAGAAGGACCTGGGGTGTTGGTTGATGCTCAGCTGAACAGGAGCCGACAGTGTGCCCAGGTGGCCAAGAGGGCCAATGCCATCCTGGCCTGCATTAGAAATAGTGTGGCCAGCAGGAGCAGGGAGGTGATCATCCCTCTGTGTTCAGCAATAGTGAGGCCACACCTCGAGTACTGTGTTCATTTTTGGGCCCTTCACTGCAAGAAAGACATCACCTTGAGGACACATGTTTAATTCATTTAAGTGAGCAGTCAAATCCACCAAAAATGCTAAATCTGTGAGCCATTCTTCATCTTCCAGGATCTGGCACAAATTTTCCTTTTGATTCCATTGATTTAATTTCACAAAGCGTAAAATCTTTTTTTAGCTTTTTACCCTGACTTAAGCCACCTTACTTCAGAAAAGTAAATGACGTTTTCATAATCAGCATCCATATTGTTAAGGAACCCCAGGAATTGGCAATAATTCAGTCCTTCAGTCTTATGACATTTATAACTTTGACGATTTCCACAACATTATTAATTTTTAAAGCTTTCATGCATAAGTTTTCTCAGGGTAGGATGCAGTGGTTTTTCGTCAAATATGAATTGCTGGTGGCAATTGTGTCATTTTCTATTAATTCCCTTTTGACCAGCTGTCACCAGGCCCATCAGTAGCTGTACTGGATGTGTTGACTGAAATTCAAGAAAATTGCTTTCATGTCATTTTCACTGCCATTTTTTTCAGTGGCATTGTGTTCTGTTATTCTGCATTCAGAAGTCTTACTGATTAGTTGTTTTTCTGGCAATTTTATTCTGTAGGATATTCTGCTTTTATATTTGTAAATAGCAATATAACTCCCTGTCAGTACCAAATGTTAACTTTCACACTTGGATGTGTGTGCTATTCTAGGTTTAAATTATGTGTTTAGAGTTTGGCTTCTTGGTTTTAAATTAAAAAAGACAACAACATAAAACCCCAAGTTTTCTATTGTTTTTGTTGTATTATCAACCAGACTGAATGAAGAAGAGTGCAAATTCAGACTCAGAGAAGACAGTATTCTCTTACTTTGTTGCAGTGGAATAGTTAATATGTGTTAGTCAGCATTCTTTGTAGTATTGATCATGTCCACCTAACAGGTAGATTTTCTGACTCTAATTTCTCTAATACAGCTGTCTTGAACCACATCTTTCCATTGTCAGAAGCTTTTTAAATCAGAAAATTGTTGTTATTGGTCTGTCCTTTGTTATTTTGTGCCATCTGCGAAGCTGAAGTCATCCTTTTGTCACTCTTGAGTTTTCTTTTCAAGCCCTTTTATTCAGAGACTTTATGACCTGAAATGAAGGATCCATCAAAGAAAAGCAATAGAGGCAGTTGTCTAACTTTTATTGCTGATCATGTTCCGTGTGTCATAAAAAGGTTTTCTGCAGTTTGGACGTTATTTCAATTCTGAAATCTCATCTGCTGCATTAGTTCTCAGAACTGCTACGTGATGGTTACTTGTGTACTTTGCAGTGTTTGCTGATAAGTGTTTGCTCATCTCTGAGGAAGAAATGAGATGTTATTGTTCTCAAGTGTGTTATGTGTTCAAATGCCAAAATAAAAACACATATATACAGGGGAACTTACTTATGTGACTAACAGTAGAGATGCAGTCCTTATGCCTTTTGGCAGTGTGCGTCAGTAGTTAAGGTATAAGGAAAATTAATTCCAGTCAGTTAAGAAGATGGGTGGATCTTCAGAGACTGATGGTTCCGGTCCCATCACAAGGTCGTTCGTGAACTGAAACGTTAGAGATTTTACCCATTTACACAACACTGTTATTTCTCTTACAACAGGAACATGAATCTGAAGGGGGGAGAACCCCACTAATGAAGGCTGCACGAGCTGGTCATTTATGCACTGTGCAATTCCTTATTAGCAAAGGTAAAATATTTTAAAAATTGGTATTAAAACTTAAAATATAAAATGACAGATAATTCAGCATTTGTCATTGTGTAGGTTAGTCTTATGTATATATGAGCCCTTGTTAGGCTGTTAGGGATTTTCTGTATTTCATTTTGTATATGATAAAAACAAAGCACAGAATATTTTGCTGTTTTTTTTTTTTTTTTCCCAACTCTTTTGTAAAGATCAAGAAGTAGTTTTGGAGTATGGCAAATATATTCAGGTTCACAAAAAAAGCCAAAGTAAAGAATACTCACACTCCCCCGGAAAAAAATCAAACCATCACCCTCAAGGGTCTGCCTGGAACAACAGAAAAAACACCATGCAGTAGTACTGATAAGAGGTTAGAGTGAGTGCCTTTTAGTGCACCTTCTCTTATGACTTATGAGGCCCACTATTACTGTGTCATTTCTATGTTGTTGAGATAGTGACAGTTCTGTATGCAAGCCAATAGTGTATTTAAAATCTCTTGCTTTTACCCCAGAATTATGTATGAATTTAGATTATTGGAAGAAAAATGTTGTCCTTATTCCATAAAATATTCCAGCACCTGTTGATATTTTAGTAAAAATATCCTTGTGTTTAATTCTTGGATTTTTTTTTCTCTCTGCAGGTGCCAATGTCAATAGGGCTACAGCTAATAATGACCACACAGTGGTGTCCCTGGCATGTGCAGGAGGCCACTTGGCAGTTGTTGAGCTCCTTCTGGCTCATGGCGCAGATCCTACTCATCGACTCAAGGTATTCACTTGAAAGTGCTTGTTTATTTTGGGTACTTCATGTACTAAAACAACCACGTGGTTGATTTAGTGTATTAAAAAATGTGCAATTTTAAATGGACTAATTCATGTTTTGCATGCCATAGAGCAGAATCCATCTTCTGACTTATTTCCAATTTCTTGATTCAGGATGGTTCAACAATGCTCATTGAAGCTGCCAAAGGAGGACATACAAATGTTGTTTCTTACTTGCTGGATTACCCAAACAATGTTTTGCCAGTTCCTTCAGCAGACTTGTCTCAGCTCACACCTCCATCTCAGGATCAGACTCAGGTATTTTAAACACCACAATGACTGTTTCAAATAAAAGTTTCCTTTGGAGGAGGAAAAGAATGTATGTTTGAAAGTAGCAGCGTGAGAAAGTTGATCGGAATTGTCTGCAGTGCATGAACTGCCTTGTATTCTCATCCTTAAGCAGGCTAGTCCCAAACCTAATCTCAAAAGTGTATTGCTTTTTTGCATTTGCTAAGTATTTTGTTTTACAGTTCTGAACCACTATGAAAATGCATCTTAAGTTTTCCTGCTGGTTCTGGTTGTTATAAGAAAGAGACTGTACTGTGTAAATTTATTGCTCACCATGTTGTTTGAGAGGTACTTTCCAATGCAGTTAGCTGAATAAAAAGCTAAAAATGTTAACAAGTTTTCCAGCCTATACCATCCAGGGCTTTAGTAAAGCGTCATACAGCTATTGTGAATATCATGTCAGTTAGATTAGGTTTGGAGTGATTACACCAAGAAATAACAGGGCATAGATGTTTCAGGAACAGTAGAATGGAAGTCTGCTGTAGAAAACTACCTTTGTGTTACTGCTTCATGATTGTGTCAGTTGAGGAGCTTTTTAATTTGACTGTGTGGTTTTATTTTAAGGTTCCACGTGTTCCGGTGCATGCGCTTGCTATGGTTGTACCTCCCCAGGAACCTGACAGAACCCCTCAAGAGAACTCTCCACCTCTTGTGGGAGTGGTGAAAGGTTAGTATGCAGCCCTTCAGAAAATACATGCAGTTTGGAAAGTGTTAAGCTAGGGGATGTTATCTGAGTGCTTATGCGTATCATAGTCTGCTCCAGCAATTCCTGAACACCTGTAATAATACCTGAGTCTGTATGATTGAATATAAAAGTATTTTATGTAGTGTGTAGTTGTTGCTAATTTTCTTGTTACACTATCATATGATAGCACTGGCTACTGGGCATGCTTATTCTCATTTTTTTGGAAGATGATTTCTGTAGTCCAGACTGGTAAACTCTAGGTATGCTTTGAATATTGATCATTTAGAATAGTTACTATTATCCATGAACTTGATATATTAACTTATTCCTGTTTTTAAAATAGTAGTGCAAACATGTTGGCACTGTAAAATAGCAATGCAGATCTACTTCCCAGAGGACGAGTTTTCTTATTATTATAATAGTACTCTTCTAAGTAATTAGGGCTGTTGCTTTGAATGTGCTTTAACTTACTGGTTAAAACTTATTTGCAGTCATTAAATGGCAAAGCTGTGCCATCCAGTTACGGATTGTGTTATAAATCTTTGCTTCTAAGCAAGCTCAGAAAGTGAAGCACATTGTTAAGTGGAAAGTTACAACTTTGAGTGATTTAGTTTCTGAATTCTGGTTTGGAGTTTGAGGAAATTAAATGCTACAGCAGTCAAAGCTCTTAGATAGCTTTATTTAATTTGTTTATTCTGAAAGTGTTCAAGGATTTCCTAAAACAAGCAAATAACAATGCCAGGGGCACAAGTGACTAGCGGGGGGGAAAAAAGAAAGTGTACCTAATGTTTCAGTGTATAACCTTGATTTTCTCTATGCATTTATGCTGTGTGTGTAACTGTGTGTGTGTAAATACAGTCACTGTGTAGGATGTGCAATACTGCTATTTTGGCCTAAAAGAATGTAAGAATGTTCCAGTTCTGTTTTAAATAATGCAGCAAAAACTACGTGCTTACATGTGCCCTTAAAATTAATTAATTTTTAGTACTACTAAGAAGGCTAGTGTTCTGGGAATGCAGCTTATGATGCATCAGAGTCAAAGAGAGAGCAGTTGATTGTGTCAGAAGACTGAAGTTATAAATTTCAAGTCTGTTATTTAATCAGATTGAGATGCAGATAGTTCATGTAGCTTAAGAAGTAGAACTCATTTAAAAAAGAATAAACTTACAAGAGATGTCAATTCATATTTTAGGCATGTTTTTAGCAGTACTATCTTGCTGGAACTGTTACCAAGAGATCTAATAGTTGTCAGTATTTCAGTATGTGCTTTGTGTGTCAGCCAAACTAGTCTGTGATGAGTTACAAGAGATACAGAGATTTGAAATGTGCCATTGGTCTAATTAAGAGCTCTGTGTCTGAAGTTATTGTGCCCCTAAAATCTTTAGGGAAATGTCAGTATTTCTGCGTTGAATGCTGTGTGGTCATTTTCCCTTTGTTATTCTAACTGTAATTGAGAACTTGGTATTTTTGCTCTTGTCTTCGGACACACTCATGGTTTTATTAGACTTCACTGTTAGACTTGGGAGATGAAAGATAAAAGAGGGTGTAAATAAAAGATTTTCACTACTTCCACGGGGAAAAAAAATACAAGTTCTCATGTAACAGTTACTTATTTTGGAGAAGACAAATTCCTTGCCTGCAGAGTCTCCTAAGTTTTTTCTGTAGACTTGCCTCTGTGGAGGAAGGAGAGGAACACCTAGTTTTTTAACTTCAGTTTGGTCTTTTTTAGGTGTTTAGATTAGTTTCACAAAAAAATGTAGTAGGAACAACTCATTTCCTAAAGAGTTCTTGGGAAGTCATGTGTAAAACTAGAATACACTTTTGTATTATCATTACGGGTTAAATATGCTGTGAGGCTTTCCAAGAAGTTATGGTTTAATTTTGATTGACAGTGTTATCCTTGCTCTAGTGAGAAGGCTTATGGAATAATTGCCATGGAGTGTTCTGGCAAATGATTTGATTTCAATGTTTAGCAACTGAAAATAAATGATTTCTAGAGAGGGTAATATGCAAAGGTGGTAACCTGGTATTGATGAGGAAGTCAAACAAAGCAGCAGCAGGATTTTATTTCATGGTACTGAGGAGAACTTGACTCATGTAATATGGAAAGGTTGCTGTTAGCATGCTTCTAGTATGTGGTGAGCATGTCCATGTGAGAGGGAAATTGTGGTGTAGTTTTGCTTGCCTTGTGTCTATCTGTTGTTGTCCTCTCTTGAATGCAGTCTGAATTGCTCAGCAGAAAGCAGTAATTTTGATGCAGCTCCACAAGGATAGCATTCCCACTAGAAAGGAGTGCAGTATTTCTGTAATGACGGAATGGCAGATCTCTTCTGCTGCTTGCAGCTCTGACAGGCTGGGGGCGCAGTGCAGGGCAGCAGCGCAGCTCCCAGGAGTGGATCTCTGTGCCTAGCGCCAGCCGCTCTGCAGCCACCGAATGCTTCCTCCCTCCTGCTCTCCAGCTCTGGCACTGGGCAGGTTGGCCACCTGCAAGGCAAGTGGAGTAGAGTGGGTGACGAAAGAACCCTTGATGAACTGTTCCACCTGGCACTGTCTGATCCTCACTGGCTTAATTCTTTTCCTGTTAGGAAAGGTTGCTCTTCACACTCAGTCCCTTACAAACATACTGTGATGCTCAGAAATAGTGTGTGTCATTTTCATGTGGCTGTGTGAGCTGCTAAGCCCACTTACTGAAAGCTGTGAATGTCTTCAGTCTGGGTTTGGAATTTTGGGTGCACCTTTGAAGTTTTCTTGTTTAGCTCAAATTGTGGGCCATTCCAGTGTACAAAATCCTTGAAAAGAATGCTATTACATTTCCCTAAGAGAATAGTCTCTGTAATATTATTGCCACGATAGTTTTGCATAGCTTGTAAATGCAAGCTCCTGTTAAAGAATGGGACCCAAAGCTCCCAGCAACTGTTAGGGTTCTGCAGTGCCCTGCCTTCGTCTTTCATAGAACGTGCTTGATGAGTGTTGTGCCTTGCACCCTCAATGTGTTTTTAGAACATCGTTGAAAAGCAATGCACTGAAATAAAGGGATGCTTAGGGACTCCATGCAGAGCAGTGCTATTGTTTTCTTCGTTAAAATATTTGAGCTGAAGCAAGACATTTTTAAATGTGTTGATTTTATTTATTTATTTATTTTTGGAAGACAGAGCTGTCAGTGGTCTTAATTGTTGTTTTTTTTCTCCCCAGGTTTCTTGTATTTCATAGCTAATGTGAAATTCTAGTTTCAAAATAACTAATTGGCCATAAATGAGGATTCAAAAGGCATCAACATGCTGACATTCAGTTTCTCCACTGTTGTTTTTAAGTAGAGAGCAATTTGCAGCATTTCTTATTTGGAGGGTTTGCTTACATATTTATCAAGAATTCACCAGAGTTTACAGGCTTGTTATTTGCAGGAAAGCTGTCCACATCTGCCCTTTGTCCCTGAGAAGGAGGTCAGAACACTCTAAAAGTTGAATAGGTTGGGAATTTTTAAGCTTTTTATTCCCTGTATCCTCATGCTGAATCTTACTAACAATCTAATATCTTGGAGAAGAAAATTAAATGAAATCGTCTTACTTCTGAAATCATTGAATGTTTTCACTCAAATATATGACTTCTCTGCTTAATTCTGAGTTATATACTGAACTCATGCATTGTGTGAGTTATTGAAAGATCCTAAAGAACAGTGTGCCCATAGAGGTGGATTATTCTGTATAGGCAGAATGCCTTCCTGAAAGTAAAAGAAGGAGGAAATACTGCTTGCTAACTTCACGACTATTTTTAGTTGACTTATGTACTTGATACTCTTTCATATGACGTTAGCAGTGCAGGCAGATGGTAGAAATCAGGCAGATGTCCCCATGATCACACGTTTATTAAAAATATTTTTACAAATGTTTGTGAAATTCTGTTCCTTGGAAGCTTCAGTTGCCTGCCTACCACCTGCTAGTTTAATTGCGTTGTATTAATTTTCCATTTAGATTTCATCAAGCCCATAAACAAACAAACAAAAAAAAAGCAACACAAAAACAACAACAAAAAAACCCTACAAATCAAACAAACAAAACAACCATCACGACCTTTGGAAGAAGACAAGAAGACTAAGGTTGGAATATAACCAAAACTTACAAAGCCAAAAGTTGAGTTGAAGTTGATTAGATTATGGTTTGGTTTCAACCATGTAATCATTGCACCTCATCCCCGAAAGTTTCCTATAGAAACAGCTGCAGGAGTGACAGGCAAAAATGCCACATGGTTTACAAGAGGAATGTAGTGGAATAGAAACTCGCTTGAACGCTCAGCACTCCTTGAATCATCCTGTTCTTGTAGAAGAATCAAATCTTTCCTTTCTCAGTTACATAATATTTTATTTTGTGTATGTGGGTTGGCTGCTTATTTCTCTGTGGTCTTGGAACTGAGGTTTTTTTTCCTATGAATTGTATGAATTCCTGTAGTTAAATGCAGAATATTCTTGCAGATTCAATACTGAGGTCATTCTATTCCTGTTGAAACTGACTACAAGTCTAATTCTAAAATTCAGTTTAAAAACAAACAAGGCCTGAACACTCCTTTTTTTCCATGCTGAAGCGCAAGAATAACAGTAGACAATTTTTTTTTTTTTTTAGTTCTAGGTTATACTATCAGGAAGATCAATACAGATTTGTGTACTAGATATTGGCTTCAGTGAAGAAAGTGTGTTTGAATGTGCATCACAGTTGAATTTTTTTTCTTGTCACTTTTATTATGTCAGGAAAATCGTTTGGAATTTAACTGTTGTGTTTTGATCTACTTGTTTTCATTTACAACTCTTGAAATGAGGGATCTGTCAACAAACCCCAGAATTTCATGTAGTAAAAAGTAAAGCAGAGTGAAACTATTGCTGGTGGTGGCCAAGATGAAAACCACTAAGGTGAAATGCAGGAGTAATTAGCGATTGCATTGACAAAAACTTCCTGAAGAGCATAGTGGATTATAAAAACAAACTTTTGCTCTTCATGTTTTTCTGGAAACAGTTTAAAGATCAAGTACTGGTTTTCTTCAATTTTCGTTGCTTGCTTAGAAATGCTTTTTCAGTGTGTCTGTCTTTACCAGTTTATCAGCTGTGCTTTTAGTGTAGAAACTAGCCTTTGCTTGTGTGAGAGAGCTGTATGTCTGCCTTGTGTCCTGGACACATCCTTTAACTTGCAGAAGACAGAAGTGTCTGCCTGTGCTATTACTGTAACTGACAAGGGGGGTAGCAAGTCTAGATGGCACAGCTAATAACAGACTGATTAGAGGTCAGTGGTTCTGTGTAGGTTCATTCTGGACAGATAGGACTTTTCTTGTGCTAATTACCTGTGAAAGGACAAATCAATTACTTTCTTGGAAAAGTAAGCCATCATGTAGACTAGGTGGCAGGACTAGAAGAGTTCCTAGAGAATCTTGAGCACTAGGAAGGAGATACAATATCTGGCTTGTTCACTGGTATCAGCCCTATGGAGAGATGTTGTGTTAGTAGATTATTAGGGAGGGACTGTTTCCTTCCTCTGTTGCATGTGCCCATAACCACTTTGGATCTTCTGTCAGATGAATGATTCTCTTTCCCATAAATTTGATTGCCTGATATCTGGTGGTGGTTGTACAGCTGCATCTGGGCTTTCACTGTATTCATTTTGTACCAAAGGGGTCTTCCAGAAGAAGTCAAAATAATTGATGTGGAAACCAGATGGGCTGCTTAGTATTCCTCGGTTTAGTCTTGCATTAGGTTGGTTTTATAGATTTATATTACACTAATATACATATATATTTATATATTGTATATATTTTTATATTAGATGTTTATATATCTATTTTATATATGTAAGTTGAAGTAATTATGGCCTGGCCTGACTGGATTTTTAATTCCTACCTGTGTTTAAGTATTTCAAAAGCAAGGGTATAAAATAGTGTCTTGTTCAAAAGTATATACTAAAATGGGCACAGTGTTTTTCAGGATGCGAAGAGTACGTAGAAGAGATTTGAGTAAAACCAGGAAATCACTGCCTTTCAATACTTCTAGTATTCTCCAGTGCTTACACTTTCAAAGCTACCAATAGCATCCTCTCCAGCTCTGGCTTGAACAGGCTGTTATGATGAGAATGTCAAGTTCAGCAAATCTTTTTTCCAATTCCTCACGCTGTTCCTTTATTCCCAAGATTATAGCTGGCAAGCATTTTCTGGTATAGAAATGGTGATTTGGAACCCATAAGGCAGCCCCATTGACTAATTGGAAGCTGATTAAAGTACATATCTGCACCTTTTTTGGAACTGAAGAGCCTAGATGTCCACTTGCATTGTGTCCATATCTGTGTGCAGTCTGCCCAGCACTATGCTGTAGGCTGTCCTGTTTTTCTAAATTCTGTTCTCAAAAGCTGTCTGAACTGTCAGTGCCTGTTCCAGATCTGCGACATTGTTAGGATAGTTGGCTTCTCGTGAGACCAGCTCTGTGTCTCTTGTTCAACAGAGACTGGAAACGCCCAATCTTTATGTAGTCCGGCTTTGGCTCTTCGGTTTCTCTTGATTTTTTTTTTTTTTTTAATTTTTTTTAATGTTAAGATTTTCCTATGACAACAAGGCTTGTTTTTCTACTTGGGTGGGAATGAGTTGAGTGGGATAGTATTGATACTTCATAATCTGGGGGCTCTTTGAACTGCAGCTTTTCCTTCCTGTGGAGTGAAGGAGGCTGTCCAGAACTCTCAGAAGTCATGGGAATGCTTTGTGTTCTGATGAAGATGGTACATAGAGTAATCTTAGGACGACTGTAAGAAGAGCAGTGTGAAGCATTCCCTTCTCAGCTGCATCTTAAGTCACACTTACTAAATTGTTTTTGCTAATTAAGAGAACATGTGGTAGAACAGCTTAAGTTTCAAAGCACCAACTAACTCCTTCTTTTATTATAATCTAACGCAAATGTAGAAAAACATTTTACATAATTTTAGTGAGTTAGATGTTTCTGATGGTGGTCTCAAATTATATTTTATCTTTTTGAATTAAATCTCAGCTTTTAAAACAAAAAGATAACTGTGAAAAGCTACAAGTGCTACAGAGCCAAAGAGCCAAAAGCTTACAATAGTCTTGAGCTGAGTATCCACCAGTTAGTCCACCAAGTCAGTTATTGTTGAACTTTCTTTATTCTCTCCAGAGAGATTCTCTTGGAATTTAGGATTCAGAGACAAAGCAGCAGAAAAGTTTGGAATGTGTGTTTAGCTGGAAGTACTGATCTTTCAGTACATGGCAGTGACGGAGAGTAACTAGATGGGAGAATATGTTCAGTGAGGGGATCTGTCTCAGTGTACCTAGTATTCTGGTATTAGGTTTTGGTATGCTGAGGTTAGATAGAGTGAGGTGTTGCTTTCACTTCAGAGATTCTCTTTGGTGAAAGTATTCAGCATAGAATTGGTTCAACTCTATTTTATTACTTTTTCTTTCTCTTTATAACAAAATCCTCACACTTGTTTGTTTATTCAATTAATTAGAGAAAAAAAGTGCAGTGTATGTGGCTTCTTTTTTCAGAGCAGTGTAAAATGGAATCAGTTGTATATTAAATTTTTGGTGAAAGAAGATCCAGAGAAAAATAAATTGGTGTTTCAGGGAATTTAATCCTTCCAAAGCTTGTGGAACTTAGTTCTTGGATCCAGACTTCCACTTTACTGTATAATTTTTAGGTATCTTCTTTCTTAGGTAGTTCCCTTCATGCTGAGATGTGTGAGTCTGCTTTGTAAATGTTCAAGATGTTTGCTTTTTAAAGCAGCATATATTATGTTTTAGGTATAGATAATGAGTGTTACTGCAGAAAGTTACTTGGTCAAGCTAAGTCTTTCAGATCTGTAATGAAACTATCTTTAGCTGAATGTAAATTAATTAAAATGTAAGCACTGAAGATTTGTTTGCAAGATCTGGCTGCTGCTATGTGAGATTTCCGTGACAGCAGCCTGTGCAGCATGGAGGCAGTGCCTTGTGAGCATTGATAGAAGCTGTCCTCTGGCATGGTATGTTGTTGTATTGAAGGTTTTTGAGCCCTAATAGTGAGGAGAATTGCTCCTTTCTTACTGGTTAGAGGGAGGCAGGGAAGGTGCCAATTTTCTGTTGAGCTTGGTATGCCAAAAGGTGTGCCAAAGCTTTAAAATGCATTTGCATATATTTAGTTTGCACTGGCTGTATTTTGTTTGTAATGTGAAGGTGGAGCACTACAGCATTTTGGTAAACTAGTTCAAAATACTGCTTTTACTGTAGAGCTAACTTTCTCTCAAAAGTAGAGTGCTTTTGCTTGTAACTGCTGTTGGAAGTTAGCTTCTAGAAAATAGTTTAATTTGCTCTGCACCTCAGAACAACATTGAGAACTTAACAGATTGTTTTTAACTGCCTCGCTCTTGCTGATTTTACTTCCAAGATGGACTGTTGTGTGTCAGATATCATAAAGGTTCCTTATTCCTAAAGATTAAAGCAGCTGTGTTCAAGGGAATGTTAGAATCCATACTAAAAATTCCAGCTATTTGCTTTGCTTTGTCCTTTCTGTTTTAATGTAGAGCATAGGGTTTTACCTTACTATGGTTTGAAGGATGTGTGGTGTTAGTTTTAAACATTTTTAATTTTTTTTTGGTGGGTGAAAGGGGGAGGTTTGGGGTATCTTCAGCATGGCATTTTTTCAAACATTTTTCATGTGCTTAGGTGCATCCAAGCAGAAGTCAAGTTCCCTGCAGGTAGCAGATAAGGACCTACTGCCACCTTTTCACCCATACCAGCCTTTGGAATGCATAGTAGAAGAGACTGAAGGCAAGCTGAATGAACTTGGACAGAGAATTAGTGCTATTGAAAAAGCACAACTTAAGTCATTGGAATTAATTCAAGGTGAACCTTTAAATAAAGATAAGATTGAAGAACTTAAAAAGAACAGAGAAGAACAAGTACAGAAGAAGAAGAAAATATTGAAGGAGCTACAGAAGGTGGAAAGGCAGTTGCAGATGAAAACACAACAGCAGTTTACCAAAGAATATTTGGAGACCAAAGGTCAGACAGACACACCACTTCCCCTACAGCAGCAATGCCCACTTACCGGGGTCTTCCCAGAAGTGGAAGCTGATAAGGGTCTGCCAGAGGATAACTTTTCAGAGTTACCTCAGGTTGACACAATCTTGTCAAAAGATGATGAGCAACAACATTCTCCACCACCTGCTGAACAAATAGAATTTGTCCCTATCCAGCCTTTGCCAGCATCGCATTGTAATTTTTCTGGTAATTTAGGTTATAATGGGACAGAGTCTCTTGAACTTCAGAAAGCAATAGGTAATCAGCAGAATGTAGGACAGCAGCAGCCAATTGCTGGGCAGGGACTGTTAGTTCAAGAACCAGACGGATTAATGGTTGCCACTCCAGCACAGACGCTTACCGACACTCTTGATGACCTAATAGCAGGTGGGTTAAGAAATATACCTATGTTTGCATTAACCTGTGTGCTTAGTTTCCCTTTTCTCCTTCCCTCCAAAAATACCTTGAGGTTTTCCAGTTTGGGAGTACTTGCTTATGCATAAAGTTCCTGATTAGTACTATTAATCCTAATAGTGACTTCCAGTTCTAACACAAGACTTTTTAACAAAACAAACAAAAAATCTCTTCTCCTGTACTGGAGACCTCTTATAGCCTCTGGCATTATCTTTTTCCATGCTACTTTAAAAAGCCTAATTGTGATTAGTAGTGCCCACTAGGAAACTTAAAAACGTGATGTTTTTTTTGTCTTCTGTAGAATTTTTCGTGCAGGCTTATAACCACAGTAGATATATTTAGTATATTAGCCCATCTCTAAAAAAAATACCTTCATTGGTATTTACAAACGTATTCCTCTTCTTTCTGCTGGAAGTGTTGCTACAATTTAAACGCAATCTGGAATCCATGCACAATCATTTAATTCTGCAGTGGCTTGTGTTTTCAGAATTCATTTTTAACTGTGGTTGTTATGCAGGAATGTTTGCTTATTTCTTATAACGTAGCAAAAAAAAAAAAAAAAAAAAAGCGTCCTGTTATCTGGATAAAAAGGAAAAACCAAAGCATTCTTCCACTTGTATGTGATGGTATGAAGAGGAAGTTCCCACACATTAGGTTGTGAGATTCGTTGTGAAATAGAGATACCATTTTTGTTGACTTCATTTCATGTATTTGAATAGGATTTGTGTTTACTGCTGGAGGTGTGCAGGGCATAGCCGGTGTTGTTTAGTCTGTAGTGGGTTGTTTCTTTGTTTTTATTCTTAATTACTTTTTTTTTTTTTACTTTTCACCATGTGTCTGTCCCTCAGCCCTTATTTTCCTGTCTTGTTTTCCCCTCTTCATAGTTACTGCCCTGTCTCCTGAAGTTTGTTTCAAGGTTTTAGAAATGTGTGGTAAGATTTTTCTGGTAACAAGTCCTGTGAGCTTTTAGAATGGTGATAACCAGAATTGAGATCAGGCGAGTTGAGGCTCATTTTGCAGCCTTCCTTGGAAACTCAGTCGATCCAATGGTTGTGATGTAGTTCCCTTCATCTATGTGGTTTTAGTTCAAATACATCTTTTTGTTTTTAGAGTATCTGGTATAGTTCCTTGCTGTTCTAGGATTTTCTTGGGAGTAGTGAGGCTGCTTAAAAAAAAAAAAAAAAAAAAAGGCAATTGGATCATTCTGAAATAATATTTCTCAGGATTTGGAACTGCAGTGTGGAAGGAAGATTTCAAACAAATAATCAGCAACGACTCAATCTATGAAGTAGTTACTGTTTCGAAGAGTTGAAGGTATCTAGCAGAAGACCATGCACTATATATCTATTAGAGTTTAGCAGCTGTGTGTTATGTACTAAATAGCCAGTGTACCCAAAATGAAAAATTGCTGTAATCAACTCTTCCAATTTTGTTTTAGGCTGGTAATGGACTTGTTGAGGATTTTGCCAGTCTACTCTTTGAAAAAATTCACGTTGTCTTTTCATTCACCAATAACATAAGAAAAGAGATAAACTTCAACTGTATGCTATTTGTAGAGGGGGGGAAATCTCAGGCAGAAAGAAATGTTTTCTATTCAAACATTTTTTCATTAAGAAAAAACATCTTGACTTGTAAGACCTTTCAGAGGAAACATGCTGCTTCCTTTTGGTTTTCTGATTTGCTTGCTGTTTTTGCAGGATAAACCTAATCTTGTTTCAGAACTAGGTGCAAATAGCACACACTCCTAAAATTATTCAAAATTGTTATTTTTTCACTTTATTTTTTATAGAAATGAAATTCAAGGAGAAACATTAGCTGTCCCAATTCCAGATCCATTTGCAAAAATTACTGCTATTGCTTTACTTTGTTCCAAAATTCAGAAATTCGTTTCATTAAAAAAACAAAAACAAACAAAAAAGCAAGAACAAAAAAAAAAAACAAAAAACCAAAGAAACAAAAAATCCTGCAAAAACATTGAGAGAGATTTTTAGATAATTCTGTTCAATTTAAATCCTGGGTGTAGGTTAAATCATTATCTCCCTAAACTTAAATTTATTCCTATTTAAAAACAAACTGTAAATCTAACAAATCTTCTAAGTTCTTTGTTTGAAAGAGACCTGATCTTTTCCCACAAATTTATCTTAGTGATTAACTTGGTAAGGAAATAATGAGCAGTAAAAAAACAGAAAGCCTGACTTTTTTAAAACCAAAGTATAGACACTGGTTAAAATTATTGTGAAAGGGGCTCAGTGTTTGGTGCACGGGAAGACTCCTCTTTTCTCTCTGACTCAGAATTTGGTTTGCCTGTGAAATATCTCCCTTGGTTGCAGTATTGCTGGTGGATCTACTGGGGCTGTGCAGCCTGGAGAAGAGAACGCTGTGAGGTGACCCTGTGAATTCATTATCTAAAAGGGAGGTGCAGGAAGGATGGGGACAGAGACTTTAGCAGGGTCTGTGGTGATAAAACAAGGGGAAATGGCTTCAAGCTCAGAGAGGGGAGATTAGGTTAGATATAAGGAATAAGTCTTTTACAGTGATGGTGGTGAGGCACTGGCACAGGTTGCCCCATGATGTATGTTGCGGATACCCCGTCCATGGCTGGTTCAGGCCCTGGGCAACCTGATGAAGCTGTGGATGTCCCTGTGCATTGCAGGGGAGTTGGACTATTCAGCCTTCAGAGGTTCCTTCCAACTGTAAGGATTCTATGATCTACATTAATGGTGGTGAGTGACCCTTGATTTAGAAGAGATAATAATTTTATTCCTATTGAGTATCCGCTTTGTATTAAGTCTGCTTTAGAGGAACAGAGATGTTATATCAGCTTTTACCCAATGCACTGAAGTAACTGTGATTGTTACTCTTACCAGTGGCAATGGAAAAAAAGCAGTTTTTTCCAAGCCTCAGATCAGACTGGTTCTAGGGGATGCCTTACATTTCTACTAAATCTTTATTTTGCCACATAGCTTTCTTGTGACGGCATACACAAATGGAGTATCTTGTCTCCTGCATCATGTCAGCTAATTGAATAACTGGTAGGAGATGAGGTGGTACAAAGTGTTGAAAATCTCAGTGGCAGTCAGAATCACTGGTAGGTAACCTGAGTCCCTTCTTTGACAAAGCTGCTCAGCCTGCGCCTGAGCTGTGCGGCAGTAACTGAATTACCTTAAAATGAAGCAACTCTTTTTTGCTATAATGGAATGTATTTAGATGTCATAAAGGAAAACTTTACAATGAATGCCTAATTTGGTCTTTGAAGGTGTGACATGCAGTCAAAATTTAAATCTGATTTACAAAAAAAAATAAATTGACACGGTACAGTTTAGGGTGGGAAAGCAATAAACTTGGATCACATCTTCCAGTATAAGAGCACAATTTTCACTTCAATTTTCATTATTCAGTACAAGTTTGCGTTCTTGTGCATCTCACCTTGCATTATTGCAGCTTCATTGCTGTTCATATTGCACGTTTACCTCAGTAAATTTTAGATTGCTGTATATGTATTGGTACTTTCCTTTTTTTTTTTCTTTTTTTTTTTTTTTTAAGGACATTCAAGGTGAGGTACTTTCTTTCATGTTGCTAGGTTTTGTGTTTAGTTAAAATGTTTTTATCCTGTTTTGCTCTGCTGATTTTTGCCAGGGGTTAGCATTTTTGTGTGCTTCTGGCTGCTTCTCCTCAGGGTGTTGGGGTTCAGAAATTCCAGATGTTATAAGACACTTAAATTGTATCTGGATCTGAAATTCTGGTTGTGGTTGGTTATATAGAACTGGAATATTTTAAGGGAGCTGTTTTAAAGGTGTGATCTGTGTGTTACTTTTTTAAGGATTGGTGTCTGGAGTATAACTAGTTACTAGGGTTAGCTGGAGTAAAAGAGACTCTTAGAATATGACATGGTTACCCCTATGCAAAAGCCTGTGTGCAGTAACATGTTATTTAAAAGCTCCTAGGGAAGACTGAAAGCAGAAAGACTGTTCTCTCATGAAAACACATTGTTTTCTTTGTCCTGAAAACCAGTGTCTGAGGAAAGCAGGACTGAAATACAAACATGCATAATAGTTCTACAAATTCTGGGTACACTGCAGCTCTGGTTGCATGCAGAAGCTGTTTGCTTAAGGTTCTGTCAATGTCTAAGGAGTTTTACTGAGATTAGAATACTGAGTTCTGTTTGTTTTACTTCTGCTTCTTCTGATAATTTTTTCATAACTTTGGGAAATAACCATCTGTGTCTTTGGAGATTTCTTAGGCTTCACCATGATGCAAAGAAAGTCTCTTTGGAAAACTGCAAACCCATCTTAAAATATGAGGAGATTGGATTTTGCCATTTGTCACTTAAAGTTTAGACCTGGTATAACATAAACTTTTTAAAAGTGTCTACAGAAAAATCCACGACATACGTCACAAAATGTTTTATCAAGATGTGAGTTACACATTGCGAAAAGTGATTTTAACTTATTTTTTTAATCAGTGCCTCTTATCTTGTTAATTGGCATCTTTTCTTGTGGAAAGAAGAAATATCTGTTCTGTTGGAAATAAACAGCATTTTGAAAAGCTTTTGTCTTAAAGATGAAAGCAGCACATTTTTTCTGGTCCACTAAAAACCCTGCAGTGTCACTTGGAGTCACTGAAAGTGATCTTGTTGTTGGTCACTTGTTTTGTATTCTCCCAATGGTCTTTCCATAAGCACTGCCATCCATTTGTACCTCAAGCTCCTGTGCTGTGCACTGTGTGGCTGTCGGGACAGTGATGCTGGTTTCTGAGACCAGAGTAACTGCTGTTACCTGGGCCAGGCATGGTGTTGCTGCTACTCGGGAAGACCATGCTTTAGCTATTGGTTGTAAATAGAACTTGCTAAAAGTTAGCCATTGGCATGTTCTCTGCAGTTTCCCTCTTGCCTTTCAGGCAGACCCTGCCCGGCTGATTATGTGAAGCCTGATGGGCCTGGTGCCAGCCAGGGCAAGGGACAGGTATTGCTTCATCTCTGGCAAAAGACTGCGTTCACAAATAGAATGGCATCCTCTGCTGGGATGAATGGGTTTTGGAAGGCTGGTAACTGCTGTGTGGTGATTGAAGGGGGTGTTCTTGAGGGACAGGCTCTGGAATGGGCATCTTCCCAGACTCAGTTAACTCTCATTTCACACAGAGGTTTGCAAAGATAACTTGCAATGAAGTTTCCAGCATAATACTTCCAGTTTAAAATCTGTATATCCTGTAATCCTGCTTGTTCATTGAACTAAATCATCTGCATGAAACGGGAGGCAGAAGTGCTCAGCTGTCTGACTGCAGAACACAGACCCCACTGACGCTTCCATTAAGATATCCTCAAGCTTGTCGGACATTCTAAGGAAGTGCAAATTAACCTAGGGAAAAAGAAATCCTGCAATTTTGTGGATACAGTAGTTAAGAGGAGAGGGTTAACTACTGGCTGCTGTAGGACTCTTCTGAGATTGTATTTTTTAAAAAGGTGATATATAGAGACAGTTTGTGTTTCTCTTGCCTTTGGTCTGTTTTCTCACATTTGCTCTTACTGTTGCTATGTAAAGTGAAGTGCTTAAAGCACACACCTATATCAAGCACGTGGTGAGAATTGAAAGTATGCAAGAAATACTTTGACACTTTCAGTTATGGCCATGAAAAGTAGAGAACTCTTTGAATCTGTCAGCAGCAGTGAATGGATTCCATTAAGGAATCTTCAGGCAGCACCAGCATGGTCTCTGCACACACCTGCTCTGTATTATTAGCCATGCACATCCAAAGCTACAGGACTTGAAAGCATTGATTTAATGTCTTTCTTGACTTAAAGTGAAATTAGTCGTTTATGGGTGATACGGTGTTTTGTATTTTGGAAGGAATAGTCTTCAGAAATCTGAGTAATATCTGAATGCACATCAGTGTGTTGAGGGGGGAGGGGGAAAATAATGATATTACATGAATTTTTTTCTCATCTGCTGCTTTAAGTGGTAATCCATACTAAGCAGATGAAGTGTGGAAACTTTGAAACCTAAAACACAAACCTGATTTCTTCATGAAGGCTGTAGGGTGAAGCAAGTCACTTTGGCATTCAGATAAGAATACTCTGTTGTTGAAATGTGCTGGCCCAATGGTAATGCTTGTTTACAACTGTAGACCAAGGAGAGCACTTTAGTGACTTCTAAAAAATACAGTGGGAAACTGTCACCTCAAAGTCTGTATGTCCCAGCCCCTGTTCATTCATTTACCCATCCATGTGCTATTGCTCTCTCCCCAGCTAAACTGACCCACCTAAAACTTGCTCCTATCTGTATTTCCTTTGTCACATACAGTCAAATATGAGTAGGCTTCATTAGTGGTGTTAGTCATGTTGAAGATTTCTCCGAGATCTTTCCATCTGCAATGTTTATGTATGAATAATTGCCAGTGTGTGTGTTGTTAATAGCATTGTGAAGGCTGAACTATTTAATCACAGCCACACTGAAAGGTTTGTATCCAATACATAGATTTGAGTTAACCCTTCATCTCCCCTTGTCACTTGAAGTATTTGGACGAAAGCAAAAGACTGTGCTAATTATTTCTTACCTGAAGTTAATGTTCTCCATTGGTTGTTTGCTTCAGGAATACTGCAAAGCATTACATGCTTAGGAATAATTAAAACTAATAAAATATTCAATCTAAAGAGACTGCACAGGGTAGGAACTGGCATTCCAGCAGTAAAAGTTACTTGTTAAATACAGCTGTTTTGCAGGACTTTTTGTAAAGTGCATCAGTAGTTGTTGTGTTAGACTTCCTGGCAAGTGACCCCAGCTGAGATGAGAGCCTTTGGTTTGAGTTCTCCTTTCGCTGGTTTAACAAGGGCAGACTAAGGCCTTATCCCTGTGCATACGTATTGCAGGGGTCATCTCTGCTTGATCTGTTAAGGCCTTTCAGCTCTTACCTTTAAAATGAATAATGTAAAAACTGTTTCTCAACTTCTTAATTATTTTTTAAATTTAAGTATTAAGTTGCACTACCAAAATACTCTTGTCCCTGAGCTGAGATGTACCTTCAGAATGAAATCTTTCAAAGGCTGTGACCAATCAGAAATAAATCCTGGGGAGCACATGGTTTTCAGCTTTCTTTTCCTTCCCCCCTTCCCTCCCCTCCATCTCTCTCTTCTGCCTTTCTTTAGTTGTTGTAACTCACAGGTGTAAGTGGCTGTCAACTCTTCTTGCTTTAAAAACTTTTTCTGAAAACCTTCAAGGGAAAAACTTCTGAATTCCAGATTGATACTTCATTTTTGAATGTTAGGTTTGTATTTTATTGATAAATTATCCATCTGCTTAGATTTAGTGTATGATTCATCTTTAGTGGTGAAGATAGAATTTTAAAAGGATAACTAAATTTCATAATTTATGTTTCTAATGTGACTAATCAAATTATTTGTCTAAGTTAACACAGTTTGGAGATAATACTTATATTATTTTACTGCTGAAAAACTTCTTTAAGCAAGATACCGACATGTTTGTTGTTAGGAACACTTAATTTGCTTTCCTCCACTTCTGTTTTGGCTTCGGAGTGTTGCAGTTTTACAGGACTAAATCTTTCTCATATAAAATGTAGAACTTCTAAGAGTGGGCTAATAATGCATTGTTGCTTTTCAGCTGTGAATAGCAGAGTGCCCAGCGGCTCCACCAGCTCCTTGCACACTACAGAATCCCCTACACCTGAGCCCTGCTCACAGGCATCGAGCAATGTGGTGTCACAGTCAGTGCTCCCTATGTATCCTTCAGTTGACATCGATGCACATGTGAGTAATTTCAGTTAGTTTTGACTAGATTTTCTTTCTGATAAGTTCTGAAAGGAAAAATAATAATCTAGCAGCATTAAAAATACTAAAGCTCTCTTAAAGTATCTTTAACTTTTGAATATTTTCTTCTTTTTCCACCATGCAGACTGAAAGCAATCATGACACCGCTCTGACCCTTGCATGTGCAGGAGGTCACGAAGAACTTGTTTCTGTACTAATTGCACGTGGTGCCAATATTGAACACAGAGATAAGAAGGGTAAGCTGAAATAGTAAAAGTTTGCTTTAGAACTACAACTACACGATGTTTCAAATAGAGATTTGGGAGCTTTTGCTTCTAAAAGTGTACAAAGCTTGCAAAGATGTAGAGTTCTAGTACGTATGTGGAAATGTATACGCCACATAGTGATACTGTACGGCTTTCGATCCATATTTTGAAATGAAGTTATCTATCTGAACGGCATATAAGGCAAATTTTTGAAATACAAAGCACTTCTATTGTTACAGTTAACCCAGCACAAAATACTTAGCATCCTGGGTAGAGTTGCTAATCTGCTCAGGGATGTGATTTAGTGGTGGGCTGTTAGAATGATGTGGTCAGGTTGTGATTGGGCTTGATGATCCTGAAGGTCTTTTCCAACCTCTGCAATTCTGTGATTCTATGATTCTACGATTGGAGTAAATATCAAATCTCAGCTGACAAGGCTAACGTGGAGTAGGAGTCAGGCTGTGTATCATGTCATTCCCATTAGTCAAATTCTGCAAAATCATATCCGTTGGAGCTGAGAGAACAGAATCATCATGCTTCTCTCCCCAGAGGTCACGCTAGCCACTGGCAGTAAGCAATGTGCGCAGGAATGCATATTATCTTCTTGGAACTTCAGTAGGAATTAAATAGAAAACAGTGACTTGTCTAAAGACTTGAATTGGTCAGAGTTTAAGCCATATTGGTCAGTGCAGTACTGTTCAGGTTGTTGTTTTTTTTTTTTGTCGATGAACCTTTAAATGTAGCTGGCAAGAGTCATGCCTTACATGTCTCCAAGTGTCAGGGTCAGCAGGGGGCTAGGAGAGTGCCTGATAGTGTTTGGGCATTACTCAGAAAATACTCAATCCAGGAAAGACATAGCTGAGCAATAAAAATCACTGTAAATTACATATTTCTGCTTAAAATTTTGAGGTATCCAGTTTATTTTTAACATGATCGTTTTTTACTAGGTTTTACGCCTTTGATTCTTGCTGCAACTGCTGGACATGTTGGTGTAGTGGAAATTCTTTTAGACAAAGGTGGGGATATAGAAGCACAATCTGAGCGCACAAAGGATACTCCGCTTTCACTGGCATGCTCTGGTGGACGCCAAGAGGTACAGACATATTTGTCCTTGAGGGATTTGATTTTTTTGCTCGTTTTTTTTTTATGTACAAGTTAGTTTTTTATTTTGATGGCATAGTAAATCTTTTTTTTTCTAAAAGCTTTTTTTTTAAATTGAATAAGTGTAGATAGTTTTAGTCTCCTCCCAAGAGGAGAGGGCATTTATTTTCTACATTGGCCCTTTCAGGTTGTTGATTTGCTGTTGGCCCGGGGAGCAAACAAAGAGCATAGGAATGTGTCTGACTATACACCATTAAGCCTCGCTGCATCTGGTGGATATGTCAATATCATCAAGATTCTTCTCAATGCTGGGGCAGAAATTAATTCAAGGTAACATACCTCATATGAACTGCGTGTGGGACAGATGCTCTGTTGTTGTCTTTTCTGAGTCATATATTGGAATCTGTAGTTCTTTCAGAGCTCCTTTCAGCCTTTCTACAGTATCGATGTTATTATTTATGGTAACGTTACCTTGATTAATGCTTTTAATTTACCTTTAACTACCACAGACAAACTTCATCTCCCTTATATCTAAGTTCTAAGCGATGCTGTAGTCTGCAAACCTGTTCCTTCTCTCTCCGTTTTTTACCCTTCTGTGATCTGGAAGTCAAATGCAGTTTTCAGTAGAACCAAGCAAATATATTTTAGCTACTTCTCTCAAACCTCCTCTTTATTAGTTGTAGGAAAAGTAATGTTCTTTCAGTCACTAGAAAAACTTTAACTGTATCTGCATATTAGAAGCATGTGTTCCTGAATCAGATGCAGCCTTGATTATATGTAGTTCCATACTTGCGTGTTCTTCAGCCATTTGAGCATTTAAAAGCTGAAACACATTTTATTTGTTCATAGATTTTAGTTATCTGTTGCATGTGGTTACTCTGCTGGTTTCTGATAAGCAATTCAAAATTGCTGGTACTGCAGGAGAGTGGATGTGTTTGTATATATTAATGTTCATTTTTGGCTTCCCATGAAACATTTTCCTCTTAGATACACCTGCATTTCTCAGAGCATTCACCAGTTCTGGGAACTGCAGTTTGTTTCTTTCTCACTAGGACTGGGAGTAAGCTAGGTATTTCTCCTCTGATGTTGGCTGCTATGAATGGCCACGTACCTGCCGTGAAGCTGTTGCTCGATATGGGTTCTGATATTAACGCCCAGATTGAGACCAATCGGAACACAGCCCTCACCTTGGCCTGCTTCCAAGGCCGAGCAGAGGTGGTCAGTCTGCTGTTGGACAGGAAGGCCAATGTTGAGCACAGGGCAAAAGTGAGTATTTGAACTGCTTTTCCATATAATTTACTTTAACAAGCACGTTTCTCTCAGTAGTTATTTCTTCAAATTATCCTATTCCTACTCTATATCCTACTCTTCTAGCATTCATCCTTCTCTTTTTCAGTGGTTCAAAGGCAAATCAGTAGTGAAGGGAGGTGGATGTTTAACAGTATGTTTTTCTTTTCTTGAAAGGTATTCAAACACACTGTGTGCTGATGAAAAATTAAATTGTAGAATCTGTATTGCCCCTCTTGATATGCAAATCTTAATGCAGAAGAGAAGAATCTGAGGATTTATTGAATGTTCTTTTTTTTTTTGTTTGCTTTTTTTTAAGAATACTGCAAGCATTGAGGAAGATGCATTGTTTGCACTAGGGGAAAGCTGATTGTTTCCTCCAATTTAATAATGAAACAGATTGCCTCTGTAGTACTGGGGAACTTTTCAGGTTTAAGATCAGTACTGATATTTGTCAACAGAACAGATCGACTTCACTAGCATATAAAAACGTCTAGACTGGAAGAGATTTGTGCTGCTATAGCAATCCTCATTTGTCACAGATTTCTTTGTCCACATGAACAGAAGTAGTGCAATCAAACCTTATAAAGCTTTTATGTTAGTCTAGAACCAATGGCTTCAGTATTATGACTTTCTGCACCTCGGAAACACTCCATAGGTTGCATGTGTTGTCACTCTGGGGCAGCTTTGTTTCTCCTGCAATAAAACAAGCTTAAATCTTGTGTGGACTGCCAGACCCATTTCCCTAGCATAGAAGAATGTTTGGTAACTCCTAAGGCTGCTGAAATAATTGCTGTGTCTGCCTGCTTCTGGAATGAAGGAAAAAGGGATATGGATAAAAGCCAGCCCTCCTGGCTTTGGTTGGGCATGTTGGGAGCCTAGTGTTAGTTTATTTAATGATCTGGCCAGGCAACTGAGTTGACTAAACATCAGGCTCAGTACTGAGGAAGGATGGATATAAAGCGTGTAAAACCAGACTGGGGACATTTTCATAGAAAGAGTTGTCTTCATTTGGATCTGTTCTAGCCTTTCCTTTAGAGATTCTTTTGAAAACTTTTGTTTTTGCTGTTGCTTTTGAGATGAGTATGCAGTGGTAGTCAGTAGTTTGTCAAAGTTTGTATAAATGCAGTGCCAAGAGTTTTTTGAGACTGCTCCAGGTTAGGCTCCGTAACATAGATATAAGCAGCTAAGTAAATACAAATCTGATTTCTGTGTGTGGCAATTGTGTGTGGTTTATCCAAAGTATATTGTATGAATTTCACATCGTGTACTTCCTTCTCTTTGCCCAGACTGGTCTCACGCCGCTGATGGAAGCTGCTTCAGGAGGATATGCAGAGGTTGGGAGGGTTCTCCTTGACAAAGGAGCAGATGTTAATGCTCCACCTGTGCCTTCCTCAAGAGATACCGCTTTAACAATTGCGGCAGATAAGGGTCACTACAAGTTCTGTGAGCTGCTGATTAATCGGTAAATTATTTTTTTCATTACCAGGCCATGTATTCTGTAGCTATGATCCTCTGTGGCAAGGGTTCTCTTGTTTATGCTGCCTCTTGCATCTTAGAGCAAAGGGAATGGAAATCTTTGGAAGTAGCATATTGCATCTGCTCCTAACTCTTTCAGTGTTACCATGGAGTATCCTGCTACTCCAGTATTAATTAAGCTCAGCAGACAGCTGAGATCAGAGGTAAGCAAACAGTGTCTGATTTGGCAGCTTTGTATATTAATCCAGAAATTTCCATGATCATTGTCCCTCTGTCAGTTATGAGGCAAGGCCTGGAAATAACTCTTGGCTCTTCAAGCGTAACCCTACATGCAGCTAAAATCTCAAGGGGCTGTTCTGTTGTGTGGATAGTCACAATGTCAATGATAAGGTAAGGGGACCTTAGATGGCTAGCTGTGTAACTGTGATGCAGTAGTCTGCATTCAGTGGGCCTTTCTTCCTGGGAAGGAAAAGGGAGTCTTAATCCTTGTGTTACTGTGATTTAAAGAGCAGATCCCAAGGACACAATTTCTCTAGCCACTAGGTTTCAATAATTAAAGCTGTGTATCTAATTGTATTCTGATCTTTCATTATCTTTACTCATGTCTTATTTGATTACACTTGTACTCTTTTAGAGGAGCGCATATTGATGTTCGTAACAAGAAAGGAAATACACCTCTTTGGTTGGCAGCTAATGGTGGTCACTATGATGTAGTTCAGTTGCTTGTGCAGGCAGGAGCAGATGTGGATGCAGCAGATAACCGGAAAATAACACCTCTTATGTCAGCGTTTCGCAAGGTAGGACGCCAAGTTGTTTGTGTGAGTCAGTGTTAAATGTTTTCAAAACATTTCTCATTTGGTCTTAAATCTGACTGGTTGATTTTTGGAAGAATCAGCACAACAAAATTTCTGTTTTCATAAAACATCTACTTTAAAGTAATCATAATCTGTGAATCCTAGACCCTCTAAAGAGAAGAACTAAAACGTATATCACACCGAACTCATTTTGGAGAGATGAAAATTGTCTATAAAACAAGTTAACTAACTGTGTTGCAGAGAATTTATTAACTTTAATAAAATGTCAAACAAGTCTGCAGCTTTCCTGACAAATGAAAATACTGAGTATGCGTTACTGTCCTTCCACTGCTTGCTGATAACTACCTAGGCAACATTTAGCTATTGTCTGTGTGGCTGCACAGTGTACCCTATCAGGTGGTGGATCCAGCAGAAGTTTGCTAGGATAATATTCAGGTAGCTCAATTTGTCAATCAGACTTGCCTTGCATTAGCTCTGTGGAGTGACTGGCAAGAAAGCAAGCTGGGGGTGACAGATGAGGTCTAAACAGAGTGGTCTTGACTGCTAAAAATGTGGACAGACAGCTCTGCCCTTGAGCCCAGTTAGCTGCTCGCATTTAAAATGAAATATAAATGTACTGGACAACACTTTTCATTTCAAATAATAGTTTACCAAAAATCTTTTTGTATATTTTCAGTCTTTTGCACTGAACTAAGAGATACCAAATTTGTATTTTGATGATGAATGTTATCAGTTGTATACCAGAGACCAGGATTTTCTTTGATATTCTAGGGCCATGTGAAGGTAGTTCAGTTCCTAGTGAAAGAAGTTAACCAGTTTCCATCGGACATTGAATGCATGCGATATATAGCGACTATAACTGACAAGGTGAGTGTAACTATGAGGGAAAAGTCCCTGTATTTATTTTCAACAAAAATATGTACGGGAAATTCTCAATTATTCAGAAAGTGAATGTGTATGTTTGATTACTTTTTTCACATCTTTTTAATATGAAACATAAAATTAGTGTTTAGAGTCTGAACTATTTTGTATGTTAATCAATGCATGTTTTGTAGAGCAAGCATCTCTCCCTTAGTTCTAGTTTATTACAGATGTAATAAGAGAAGTTTTGCATTCCAGGACCTGTTGAAAAAGTGTCACCAGTGTGTGGAAACAATTGTGAAAGCTAAAGACCAGCAAGCTGCAGAGGCAAATAAGAATGCAACTATATTGCTGAAGGAGCTAGACCTGGAAAAAGTGAGTGGAGAATTGTGGTCATCTAGCTTAATGCTTAAAACTGTGATTTAGGGGCAGTAATTCTTCATGCTGTGACTGTATCTACTTTCTGTAAGTGTATATACTGAGGGTATAGAGCTGTTATTTAGCTAGACACTCCAAGGTCCTTTTTATCCACACTAGTTGCTTTCTTGCATTACTTCAGCACAGATAAAGAGTGCGAGTAAGGGAGATTTTCAGTCTCAGTGGTATCCTGCATAGTATATTGTACTTAGTGTGAAATGTAGTCCATAAGTGTTTTATAGGCCAGTGCTCAGTTTCACAAACTACACAAAGAGGAAGCTGCCACATGAGCTAAAGTGAATTGAAAAGGTGGTGTGGGAAGTGAAGTTTTTCCTCACTCCTTAAGTATCCCAGACTAATGCAGAGAAGTGATCTGTAATGAACATTCTAAATGGAGACTCTTAGAATTGTTGATGAATAATTCATGCAGCGTTTAATTAAAGAGGGAAGATGACAAGTTTTCATCTTCCAGGTTGTTAACTCATGAAGTTGGTTGCTATGCAAAGCTGCAGTATGGTGCTGCTGTTGTGACCAATCTCATACTAAAAAAACGTGGTTAAAATGAGAAAGTAAGACCAGTTAATTCTGTAATGTACTGTGGGATAGTTTTTTAAACTCAAAACTGTTAATCTCATCAATACTTTTGCAACATTGTTTAATGGTTTTTGATAAAGGACTGAGATAATGAGGGATCTTACTGGCTTTTTCAGTGAAGTTGTTTTTACAGTGTCTCTCACTTGGTTGTATTTATTGTTGTTCTTTGGAAATTTTTGGAACCACTCAGGCCTGTTGTTCCATAACGTCTGTTGGGTTTCTGCATAATGCTTCAGTTTGTGACTTGTTCACCGTGCTTTCTTCTCTTTTATCCCCTGCCCCAATTTGTAGGAAAGATTGGAATTACAATTTAGTCTTTGTGATCGTATTTAAATATGAATCCTTTTCTCCTACATAGTCAAGAGAGGAAAGCAGAAAACAAGCCCTTGCAGCTAAGAGGGAGAAAAGAAAGGAAAAGAGAAAGAAGAAGAAAGAGGAACAAAAAAGGAAACAAGAAGAAGATGAAGAAAATAAGCCTAAAGAAATTCTAGAACTACACGAAGATGATGATGAAGAAGAAAATGATGATGAAGGTAAAGAATGAGTGTTTAAATGTGAAAAATGCAGTTCTATAGTTGCCTTTTTAAAAGCACCTAGGTAAGGTAATCTGTTAGTAAGCTGGCTTCTTGGTACTGTGATGATGTTGTATAGTTTCTACCCTGGTTCTTACCTGCTGTTAGAGTGTGGAGGCGCTGCGTTGCTGGTAAATCTTTGTTTCTTCTTCTTTGTTCCCAAAACTTTTTCCTTCTTGGTGATCTTACATCTGCATATAGTGCAGATACACTTGACAGCTCAGCAGGAGTATGATCTTGGTTGAAGTGTCCTCAGTCAGAGGCACTGATTTATATATTTTGTGATTTTTGTTTTTTTTTCTAGCGGAGCAAGAAGTTCCTATAGAGCCTCCTAGCGCAACGACTACCACTACAATTGGGATTTCTGCAACTTCAGCTACTTTCACCAATGCCTTTGGGAAGAAGAGAGCTAATGTGGTGACTACTCCCAGCACAAATAGAAAAAATAAGAAAAATAAAACAAAAGAGACTCCTCAGAATATGCAGATAATTTTGCCAGATCAGCATATATCTTTAGCACAGCAAAAAGCAGATAAGAATAAAATAAATGGAGAGCCAAGAGGTGGTGGTGCAAGTGGAAATAGCGATTCAGATAATTTGGATAGCACAGACTGCAATAGTGAAAGTAGCAGTGGAGGTAAAAGTCAGGAGCTGAACTTCACAATGGATACAAATTCCTCTGAGCGGCGCTATGCCTCATTGCTTATCCCTTCTCAGGAAGAAAAAACGAGCACTTCAGCTTCAAAAACACCAACAAGGTGAGACTTCATTGTTATTTCCCTATTTCTTCAGTGTTTTGCCTGTGCTGATGTAAATTTTCTGTAGCTCGGGCATTACAGCAGCTGGAGCATTCTTGCGACCAGAGAGAGTAAGCTTGCTTGCTTGTTAAATTACGTTGTCTGGTTTGCTGAATGCAGCTTTGTCAAAACACTAGAGATAAATTCTTGTTATTGTTGACTAGTTTAAACTACTCTAGCAGAACAGTTAAGTCTCTGCACTGTTTTAATAACTTTGCTAAACTCTGAACTAATTGGAGTAGATTTTAGAATAAACTTGCAGGGAATTTAAAAAAGTGAAAGCCAGTCTTATAATATAATCACAAGTTATCATTACCCTATGATTGTTTTCTGATTTCATCATTAACTTCTTTGAATTGCCATCTCTTTTTTATTTTTTTATTTTTTAAGGAGGGAAGAGGCTGATGACTCTGAGCATTTCACCTGCCAGGTTGATGGCCAGTTTGATTTAACCTTGTCAAGCCAGAGGTGAGAGTCAAAAGAATTCAGTGAATGTACAGGGTCCATACTAATGACTTGGAAGATCATTGAGTTGCCAGTGAAGGAGCTAGTAACTAACAGAAACAACAGTTTCTGAATAGGATCATTACTGAAAACCAGTAAGCTTAAATAACCTCTTAATCTGTAGCCTTTGCTGAGAAATTTGCCTCTGCTAACTTTTACTTATATGGAAATCAGATTCATACTACTTATATTTTTATCCCAGCGTTAAGAGAGGTAGAGGCTATAGGGACTGATCTGCAGGACGCATGGTTTACCTTCAACAAGAATGCAGACCTGGCATCAAAAAGTGTAGCAAGCATGAGGCTGTTGGCTGGGAGGGGGGAAGATAAGTTGGGCTCTCAGCTTTGTGGATTTTTTTGCTGTTTTTTTTTTTTTTTTTTTTTTCTCCTCTAGAATTAACATTGTTAGCCATTATGGTTGTGAGGAGGAGGGAAGAGTTCCCTAAAATTCTTAAGAATGTCAGAAATTGGATTGTCTGCATATCCTGTTTTATGAATATAAACTGAGTTTTGCCTTGGACCTCTCCTACAAATGCCTTGGAATCCTGTATGACCCACTAACATAGAGTTAACTAAATATACTGAATTCCTTAAACTGAAGAAAGGGGTGGTTCTTCTGTCAGATAGAAGTATACCTAAAAACCACGACAGTAATGAGTAGGGCTGGTGTGTTTTTTAACTTCTGCAGGTGCTCTTTACTTCCGGCACTAAGCAGTCTTTCTGAAAAGTTTCTAAACTTTCTCCTCCTGAATTTTTCATTTTCAGCATAGACTTGTTGATGATAATGCTGTTATAATTGAAACATTTTCTAAATATGCCTTAGGTTTGTTTTATTTTGTTATATTTGTTATACCAAATCACTTTATAAGTCATTCATTGAAGACTAGCCTTATGTTTTAGAGATTGCCTCTGCTTCAGTGCTGGACGTGAACCTGAGCACCCAGATACACTCTTTTTACATTCATGTAGATAAGTTAGCCTACAGGAGCTTAGCTGTTCCTCTCTTTCTGTCTCATCCAGACTTTACTCTGTTTTGTGTTGCCAGTCTATTGGTACGGTTGTGTTAGTACAGGTTTTGCATACGCACTTTCATGTTGACTTCAACAGGAGTAAAATACCCTGCGATCTGTGCACCACATGCAGTTACCTGTTCATAAAATGGGGGGTGCGGGGGCAGAGGATAGAACCACTTACCTACTGCTTACCTAATTACAGGGGATCTCTAAAAAGAGATGAAAAATGAAGACATTTTCTAGTACCTAGTAAGAAAGGGACATGATTATAAAAGTATTTTTTCTTAAAAACCTATTAAAAAGGAGAGTGTGTAATCCAAGTGTAACTTAATGGCTGTGTAACACTTATTATAAAGTACTTTATAGATTATGCCCTTAGTGCTTCTAATATTACTTGCTTCAGTTTAGCACTCCATTTTGGAAGGAATGCCGTGGACTAAAATGTAAGAAATTATAGAAGTCAGCCAACAGTTCTTCCAAATTTGGGAAATTAAAAAAAATAAAAATGAAAGCAGTTCATGCTGGAAGTGCTGAGGTCCAGAAATGAATGCTCTCATACTGTCAGTTTTGTTCTATAATTTGTAATCGGCACGTTTCTGTTCCCAGACTTGATGGTGAAGGTAATTCAAATTCTTTGTCAACTGCTTACAAGCCTGTTTCCCTGCCTCTGACCTCTCCAAATGTAAAGCTGAATCTGACCAGTCCGAAAAGAGGCCAGAAAAGAGAAGAAGGCTGGAAAGAAGTGGTTAGAAGGTAAAGAATTTAATTCTGTATTTAAGAAATGTTTCAACATTTTTACTTGTAAATTATACTCAAATGTAGAATTCCATCAGGTTCATAAAATTATTCCACTGTAATAATTAGAAAAAAATCCATTATTTTTGTCTTGCAGTGCTGTAAAAACAAATTAGAGTCCTAATTTGTAGTACCCCCTCACTAATTTAACATGATATGAACGTTTTATTTGGCATAAGAAGGTTTCTTTACATGCGTTGTCATTGGAGTAAAAGTTAAGGTATATCTTAAGACACAGAAGGAGGGAACAAATGGCAGCAAAAAAGCTCCTAATGTGGATGATTGCTTGCAATGAAAGTGGAGTAGATGTTGGTAAAGTAGAAGACAGGTGGATGATCACTTTGTGGCTAAATTTCATGCATTTTGAGTGGTTACCTTGTTTGCCAGTTCCAATGAAAATTTTGTGACCTTAATTCAGTGTTGAAAAGCCTTTTAAATGTAATTGTACTTCTGTAAAGCACGCTCCCTTTGAAAATGTTCTGGTTTTTTTGTTTGTTTTTTTTTTTTGCTGTCTAGCTAATAACCACTCAATCTCATCTGCAATCATTATTATGTCTGCTACTTTTAACTAGTAACAAACAAACAAATCTGGCTGTCGTGTTTTGCTCCCTTTGTTGAAAAGGAATGTCGCATGAACATACAAGTGTCCCTTGTTTAGGTATGCTTATAGTGCCCTGCTGCTTTTCTGTTCTGCAGTGGTATAACTGTATGTGCTCATTCTAGGAAATTTTAAGCTGTGCACCATAGTTGCACAGAGGAAGCTACAAACTTCATTATAACTTTATAAAAAAAAAAAAAAAGGCATTTTAATCTGAAAACTTAAACATATGAACCCTTAGAAAGTTGGCTCAGTCTTCTGCCTTTTGTTGCATTTACCGTACGTTCTCTGCTGTGCTGTGTCCTTGCCAAATGTACAGTCACAGACTGCCTGCCACTTGGTGAGTCATGCAGGCATGAAACTGTTGCAGAGGCAGCTGACTTGTCCGGTGCTGCACACAGAACCTGCTATTGACTCAGGAGCTCCTCCATCTCTCCTCCTGGGTCTCCTAAGAATTGCTTTTTTGGGTGTTGTCTGCTGTTCAGATAGAGATGCTAGTGTTCAAGAAACAGCATCTAAAACCTGAGATTTCCTAGTCCTTAGGGGATCAGGTCTTGTCAAAAAGACTATGTGCATAAATGTTTTGCACATATTTGCTGTGCCCTGATGATTGGTAAAGCATTCATCCAGCCAAAGAGCTGTTTCGCAACTGTAGCTTTGTGTACAAAATGCCTGGGAGCTGCATGCCTTCATCTTCTAAGTCTCTCCCAGTCTCTACAGCAAGATTTTTTCTCCTCCCCTCTCTCTGTGAGTATCCTACTGTGGCTAGAAGGGATCAGAGAAGTAACCAATGAAAACATCCCTTCTACCCTTGACAGGCAAGTAGGCAGAGTTTTGAAAGACCCTCCCCCTAGCAACACTCTGCAGCCAACACCAATTGAACAATTTCAGCTGCAGAGAGGAGGGCGCTGCTGTTCAGGAGCAAAAAGGTACTGTTTTGGGGTACTTAAGGTAAAAACCACTGAGATTTGTGGGTAGGGAGGGAAGTGGCAGTGGGTGATGGGTGGAAGGGATCCTGGGTGCTGGGGCAAGCTCTTTTGATGGAGGAATTTCTTGGTCGATGGTGGCGTTGGGGCTCCTTGTCGGCAGAGTTGAAAGGAACCGAAGGGACAGCTGGAATCCTTGATATAATGGGATCTCCTCAAGTTAGGTGATATTGGGAGCTGCTGTTTGGGGAGGGAGCAACAGAGTTGTCTGGTTTGAGCAGGGAGCCTTTGGGGTGGGTGGAGAGACAAATACCCAAAGCATGAAGTTGCCTTCGGATTGAGAGCTTGGTGCATAATCTGAGTGCCTGCAGATCAAATTACTTGAAATTCTCAGAGTGAAATAGCTGAATGAAGCTTGCAGCCTTTTGGGAGGATTTGTGGTGATCTGTACAGTGTTCAGAGGTGCTTGAACTGTGGTTTCTGAAACCCCTTTGAATCCCCTCTAATTGTTCAGTGTTGAACTACTATTGCACAACACTAGTAAGCTGGAAAGCACTGTATGGGCTTGAGAGGTCCAACCTTTCAAGTCTGGGGACAGAAGTGGCCCAGAGAGACCTTGGCAGAAGTCTGGATGCAAGCATAGATCATGTTCAAAGACTCCTCAGTGCTGTATGCCTGCACTGACCCACCAGCACCGTGTAAATCAGAAAAATGCTAAGATGACTTATTTTACTGGATGTATGCATTGAAGTGTTTGTGGCCTAAAAGTGAGCCTGCTCCTGAAAAATCTGTGCTGCCTTCATAGTGGCTTCCAGCAGCTCACTGGATTGCAGAACTGCATGGTTTAGCAGTCTGATATCCACCGTTGTGTAGTGTCACCTGTTAAACTTTAAGATCTTTTGTAGTGTCTTTGAGGCCTAAAAGAAATGGATACTACAAGGGTTGTGAATACACGTGGTACACAGAGCTCATCACTGAGAAGATCATGGAAAAACACCTTCTACTAGTTATGAATGATCAAAGTAGCTAAGCTGTGGCCTTCTGTATATGAAGCAGTGCTACTTAAGTAAATTTAGGTCAATAAGCTTTGTCTTTGTCTTCGAAGATACACACACGAGATAAGATAAAATTGGAAAATGTTTCTGATGCAGTACATGAGGCACACTTGTGATACAGCAGTGGTGATAGAAATGCTTGTGAAGAACCCTTGTTAGGTGCTGAAAATGATAAATAATCTGAGGTTGGGGATTTTTAGAGAGGCTCCAAAGGGTGAACAAAATATCAGCAAAAACCATTTGCTACCCTCAAACATAAGTATGTTGTTTCAGCCACATGTGAGACAATGAGGCATTTTTTATGTGCTTATTGTTTAAGTACATTTGACAGATTTATGATCTTTGTGATATAGGTCAAAGAAATTATCTGTCCCAGCTTCTGTCGTGTCTAGAATAATGGGAAGAGGTGGGTGCAACATCACAGCAATTCAAGATGTCACTGGTGCCCATATTGATGTTGATAAACAAAAAGATAAGAATGGAGAAAGAATGATCACTATAAGGTACAGTTTTTAGAAATGAAACTCTAACTCAGAAATGTCATTTTTCAAGAACTTCTCTTTGCTTTTTAAGACAGGACGTACTTAGTTTCTTGGTTATAGAATAGAACTTCTAATACTGCTGCCAAAATATGCTGATGGTCTGCATATTCAAATATTCATTACTTCTTGACTATGGCTATCTTAAGGATTAATTAAATGGAGCAAAACTGCAGTAGACTTGTAGATCAATATCAAGTTGGGGCTACAGAATGTTGCACAAAATGGGGTTTCCTTTCGTTAAAGGTAAATATATTTGTGTTTAACCTAGGGGTGGTATGGAGTCAACGCGATACGCAGTGCAACTCATCAATGCCCTTATTCAAGATCCTGCCAAGGAACTGGAAGACTTGATTCCTAAAACTCATATAAGAACACCTGCTTCGAGTAACAAATCAATCCATGCAAACTTCTCATCTGGAGTTAGTACAGCATCTGCTCCAAACAAAAACTCCTTTCCTCTTGGAGCACCACCTCTTGTCACATCGCAGTCATCGACTCTATCTACTTTCCAGCCTACTAACAAACTAAACAAGAATGTCCCAGCAAATGTGCGCTCATCTTTTCCAGTATCTCTTCCTCTAGCTTATTCTCATCCTCATTTTGCCTTGCTGGCTGCCCAAACTATGCAACAGATCCGGCACCCTCGCTTACCTATGGCCCAATTTGGAGGAACTTTTTCACCTTCACCAAACACTTGGGGACCATTCCCAGTGAGACCAGTTAACTCTGGCAGCACAAATAGCTCTCCAAAGCATAATAGTTCAAGTCGTGTAGGTAGTCAGAATGGAAATATTTTACAGACAGAGTCTCCCGGATTAGCTACTTCTAGTTGTCCCATTACTGTCTCTTCAGTAGTTGCTTCCACCCAGCCGCTATGTGCAACAAGTAATCGGACTCCCTCTTCAGTCAGAAAGCAGTTGTTTGCCTGTGTTCCGAAGACAAGTGCTGCAGCAACAGCAATCTCAACTGTGACAAACACGTGTAGCACTCTGCCTTCAGTTTCCTCTGTGCCCCCAAACAATGGGCAAGTTTCTGCAGCATTTCTGCCCTCTTCTGCTCCACAAACGCAGCATTCTGCACTTAAAGCAGACTCTTTCTCAGCTGTCTCAGCGCCCAAAGAGAAAGTGTCAACACCAGACCAGCCTGTTGGAAATACATGCACACCATCTTCTGTTGCAGGTAGTTCCAGTATGTCAACTAGCAGCAATTCAGGAGTCACTGAAGCTCACCCATCTAGCAGCCCTGCACCTCTAACGAACACCCAAGATGAAATACTAACAGCCAGCATGTCAGAAATGAGCCCTTCTATGTCGATGCCTATTTCTTCCAGCTCAGAAACCGCTCCTTTAAGCTTAGCATCACCCAGGTCGGTTGTTGCAGATAATCAGGACAACAGTAACTTACCTCAAGTAGCTGTACCAGCACCTCGAGTTACTCACAGGATGCAGTCCAGAGGTTCTTTCTATTCAGTGGTACCAAATGCAAACCTTCATCAAGATCCTCAGTCTATTTTTGTTACAAATCAAGTTCCCTTAACACCTTCTCAAGGTCCACCTGCTGCGGTGCAGCTTTCGTCAGCCATGAACGTTATGAACGGTTCTCAGATGCACATTAACCCAGCAAATAAGTCATTGGCTCCTACCTTTGGGCCAGCAACTCTCTTCAATCACTTCAGTAGTCTTTTTGATAGTAACCAGGTGCCCTCTAACCAAGGATGGGGAGACTGTCCGCTTTCCACCCGAGCAGCAGCTGACCCATCTTTCACTGTTCAGTCCACCTTTCTGAATAACTCTGTGCTAGGACATGTGGAGAATGTGCATCCTGATAACTCAAAGGCTCCTGGTTTCAGGCCACCTTCGCAACGGGTTTCTACAAGTCCTGTAGGTAAGTCACTAAGATCATGTACTGGACAGAATTTTTTTTTTCTGCAACACTTCTGTTGCTTGAGATCGTTTGAGAAATAGTTTACAAATTATGGTTATGGAATACTAGATGACCTATTTTTATCTATTTCTTTTTTCTCCAGTTCTTCTGGGATATTGATTGTTGGGAATGTTGTAGACATTGTGTTGTTTGCCCTGAGAGAGAGGAATGTGTCTCCCTCCTTGTAGAATTTAGAGTAGCTTTGATTTTTAGTTTTTGAGTTGGAGTATAACATGTTGTTAGGTGATTCTAAACTTGAAATAGCCAGGCCAGAACTTTCAACAGATTCAACCTAGCAGCAGGAGTGACAGCATGTAGTCATTTAATATTTTCACTGTATGAGATTCCAGATGGACTATGAAAGAGTGCCCTGTATTTTTTTCTGTGTGACCCGATCGTGTAGGCTGAAGGAGGATTTTGCTATGTTTTTCTAGGAAACTGGTGTGCTTCTGCATGGTGTGTTATTAAGAAGCAATTGTTGCTCAGGTGTGAAGTATAGTAGTTCAAGCTTACAAATCTTTAACTGAAGTGGGCTAGAAACACTCACAGTGAAAACACTGCCTGGGAGATTATTATCATTTTAGTGATGATGATAACGCAGGTGCTTGGCTGTGTTCATTAGGCTAGAAGGCGCTCTGAAGAGGTCCCACTGCTACTCCATTCTCCGCTTTCTTCTTGCTGAGGTGCATTTATGGTGCCTTGCAGCTGGACAGCTGGAGAAGCTTGCTTTAAAGTCGTCTTCCGCACCAAACGGCGGTGTTAGATGAGTCAGCTGTTGCTTCAGGACTTGAATGCTGAATTTGTACACTTCTTCAGTTTGACTTCCAGACTGAAGGAGAAGGGGGCATTGGAAAGATGTGGTGAAGAAAAGGGTTTTTAGTATTCACATTCATTCGGTGGATTTAAAAACATTCAGGGTTTCTGAAAACTAGATCTTGAAACTAGAAACTAGGTTTAACCACTATCAAGATATTTGTTATGACTGTAGTATTCTCAGGCATTTAATTTGGGCTGCATGACTGCACTGCAACGCACACGATTACCCAGACTACTTATACCGTGTCCGTTCCCAGTGCGGTAAGCAGAACCAGTTGTAACTGAGACTTCAAGGGGGTGAAGTAACTGGGCCTTGTTCATCAGATGTCTGCCAACACAGGAGCTGGCAGACCCTCCTCAGTAGACTCCAGGAACTGTGGCTCATTGGAATACCCTGCTCTGGGGAAGGAAGGTTATGTCAGATTCTGACTGACAGCAGTTAACTGATTTGTTGGGTTCTCTGCTGGCTCACAGTGTCATTCTAATTAATGATCACCCTTCTTTCAGAATCTACGGTTTTTTTCTGTCGCATGGAAGGAGAAGGGACTTGAGCTGAAGGAGAAGGGGGTATTTGGAAGTTGTGATGGTGAGGAAAGAAGTGGCAGGAGGCTGGAGGCTCTCCAACATCTTGACTCTTAGGCCAGAAGTGTGGTCTTCCAGTCTGCTTGCCTCTTTTCTTAGGGGGATTTTGCAGATGAATAGGCCTTCCAGTAGACTCAGCCCTTGAGGTAGAATGTGTTGGGACTGTTTTGATGTTTTTCTTAAGTTTTAGTGGCAGGTTTTGTGTGATTTCAAAGAGCACTTGCATATACTTTGGCCTCAAGCAGTGTTATAGTTTGGACCTTGCTTGGTGATTCAGTATGCCTTTATATGTAGAGAGTGGATAGTAATGGTTGTAAAAACAGATACAGTCCTCTAATCTCTGGCTGTGACTCTATGCTTGGAGCAGGAGGTTTCTCTTATGCCTGTCTTGTACAGCTGGGCTATAGGAAATCTTTCTGCAGATCAGCATTTCTTAGCAATCACCTCTAAGCTGTTGTGGTAAAGATGTAGCCTGATCTGATTATGCACTACAACAGGTTTTTTTGTCACTTTAATGTAGAGTTTATGTTCTCTATTCTTGGGTAAAAGCTATTACAACTTGAGTTGTCTCTGATTTCACCAGTTTGTTTGAGGCTCAGGTACCTGTGCACGCATCCTTACCTCTTGTGGATCTGTTCTGGGAATGGCCTTTTGTTCCATCTGTGCCTTCAGAGCTCGTCTTAGCAGCTTGCAGATTTTTGGCAGAGCCTGATTGTTTGGAGAGATTTTAGGATGACCAGAAGTCTGCTTTTTCCTCTGCATTTTTAAGAAAGGGTTTGAGAACTTGCTTGTGTTAAAAGTTACTGCAGACTTGGTATAAGCCATGTGAAAAAGCAGTGCATGACTATGAATTTGCAAGGGCTTGCTGGGCTCCCTGTTTTGCATGGATTCACCAATATTGCTGCTGATTCTCTGAAGTTGGAGTTAGCCCTTGTAGTTAAGTGATTTCTGCAGGGAGAGTCTGGGTGCTTTGAACTAAATTTTGAGCAGATTTGTACGATGCTGATGCACCAGTCTCTTAAAGCCCAGAAATGCTTTTTGAGCATAATGTGGAGTCTGACTTCTAAGTGCAAAGTACACTATTGCAAATTGTTTTAGTGTTAAAACATCTGCTTTCACTGATGAGTACATACATTCATACCGGCCAGCTGGAAGCTAGTCTTTGGTGTGCAGTGCCATCCATGGCCATAGAGGCCTTCTGACTGCTTCCGATGTACTGTCACACAAGGGAGGATAGCAGGAGCATCCCATCGGTAGCTTGGTGGCAGGTGTGTGGGAAGGGCCCTTGGCTGGAGATGCTGCAGTCTGTTTCTGGCAAGGAGTGTGCTGGGGGAGAGCTGCTGCCCTAGGAAGGAATGGTCTGGGCAGTGTGTGCCAGCAGCCTGCGCAGCCTCAGCAGCTTCTTAGAGTTGTCTTAGAGCTCCTTCTAATCACTTCATATTCTGGTGGTGGTGGTGGTTTACCTTTGTATTTCTCCTTCTCTGTAACAGAGACTCTAAACAAATCTTTTGGGCGTGGCTAGTGATGAAAACACGACCTCCAAAAGCAGCGCGTCATTTCTGCTGCTGTGAGCAGGTTGGATCTGACACTTCTGGAGGCAGGAAACTGAGGGCATTTGGTTGATATGCTTCATTTAATAATGAGGAAAAGACATGGCTTTCAGTAATATATCCAAGAGATGAAAGGTGCGTCTGTAGTTTATGACCTAAGCTGTTGCCTGTCACCAGTGCTGCTTTCAGACTTTCGGAGTGTAAGCAGGGATGTGGTTTCAACCTTGCTCTGTGACAATACAGGCTGGTCCTGGTTGTGGTCATCTGGAAATGTTTTAGTGGTATTGAAATTAGTCTTTAGTCTTTTAATAGGCCCTTGAAACTAAACCCAAAACAGAGGTAAATGTATGGCCATGCTGTTTTTTTCTTTTTTTTTCTGGTAATGGTGTGTGATAAAAACTTTTAAAGTATTTTGGAAAAGTGCTTAAAAGCTTGGAGTTGTTCAAAAATTGTTATTTCTCTTGCTGATTCTTTTTTGTGGGACTTTAAACTCCATCTTTTCCCTCCTCTCACGCACTTCTGTAGGAAGCAGCCCCTTCTCTGTTTCACTGCGTGTTGTCAGCCCTATTTCCTTGGAGGCAGTGTGCTCTGACTGACCTGTATGTGACTGTAACTAGGTGGCAGAACTGTGCTGCAGTGAGACTTCCTTGGTGCTCGATTCCCTCAGGGCTTTCACAAAACCCTGTATTCCTGTTTGGCTCTTTGGTAAAGAAAGATTTTTGCCACCTCCCGGTTTTCTTCTTGTAATTTCCATTTCAATTCCTTTCAGGGACTGAAGAGATGGCTTTTTAAAAAAAAATTGAGGCAGAAGCAGAGATCATACAGAAATGCCTTCTGTTGGTTTGTGTTTGAGGGAGAATTATGCACCTGTAAAATTAACTTAGTGTATGGAGATACCCCCGAAGGTGATGAGATGCTTTAATTAATTATATTGAAGTGCAAGCTCTCTTTAGTGCTTTGAAGCAGGTTCCCAAAGAGATATATTTAATGAAATTTATGTTTATTTCAGGCTTACCCTCTCTAGATCCATCCAACAGCTCTACAACTTCTTCTTCAGGTCCTTTGACAGGCTTTTCAGCAAACATGCAAGGAGCACGGGTTTACCTTCAAGGGCCAGCGCCTGTTGGGACTCCCAGCTTTAACAGACAGCATTTTTCACCACATCCTTGGACAAGCGCAACAAATTCATGTAGGAACTTCATGGGTCTGTCTTAGTTAACTGTAAATTCTTAGCTGTTGTCTTCAGCAGATTTGTAACTTGAGGGGAAATTAGACAGTTATGAATACAGTGCTTTCCAATTTAGCAGTTGTGAGAATGCCATGCCAGTCCCACTTCACTATTTTGTTTCTTTAGAAGTAAAATGCCATTAGGCCTGGTAGCATTTCCAAAGGCTATTTGGGAAAAAAAATTAGTCATTGTAGGTCCTAAAAGGAAAAGGCATGAAGCTGTGGGGGAGTGGGAGTGGAGGTGATTATAGCAAGTTAACGATTCCCCTCTAAACAAATATAATGTTAGGGGAATGTGTTATGTCTGTCATAAATGTGTGAAGTTATAATTCCTTTTTCTTTTTGTTTTTATTATTTATTTTAAGTTGGCATTCTGGAATTTTCTTGTTAGTCAAAATATCCTAATATCTTAATGTATCATCCAAGCTGACATAGAAGTTTTCGACTAAAGGAAAGAACATGGAAGTAGCTTTACAGAAACTGTGGGTCTTTGATTTAGAGTCTTAAATGAAGAGAGTTTTCATGTCACTGCATGCAACTTCATTGCAACTCTGAGCTTAAGAAGCAAAATGTTTAAATGAGTGCTCAAAAGAAGTTGGATTTCTCAGAAACAGTGACGCTTCTGAAGTTGGTGAAAGTTGTGTTCTTATGTTACATTTTTGGCTTTGAGAAGCTGTCTTTTAATTTCTCTTTTGCTGGAGGTGATAGATACCAAAACCAGGCTGCTTTGATATTTATGGTATCTTGGCTGATTTTTTTCATATCTTCCTGAAACTCTTCCATGTTTCTTATTCTTTCTTGTAGTTATTTTAGATGTACTTCTATGTTATGAAACTATCACAATTCTTGCAGCTGAAAGCACTTGTGCTAATGTTCGTTCTAGAATTAAAGTAAGATTTAAAGAGAACTTCTGTGAAAGACTGAAGAATGTTTTGGAGGAAAAAAAAAAAGCCATTAAAACCCTTTTATCATTTGCCTTGAGATAGCATTAAGGGGATAGAAAGGGTAGCATTTACTGTCATTAATTTCAGTGGGTTTTTTTGTGTGATTAAACAAAATAAATTCTTTCTTCAGCAGGTGAATCTCCTATTCCATCAGTTTCCTCAGGATCATCTTCACCCCTTTCAGCTGCTTCTGCACCTTCTAACTTGAGCCAGCCAAAAACGGGTAACACAAATCAAGATCGAAAGGTACCCCCCCCTATTGGGACAGAAAGACTTGCTAGAATTCGACAGGGAGGATCTGTCACTCCTACGCCCTTAGGAACCAACTTCACAGCTCCAGTTGGTCATAGTGGCATTTGGTCATTTGGAGTTAACAGCATATCTGGTAGGTCTGTTTTTCGTGGTCTGGAATTCCTTGAAGAAGCTTGTGGGGCCTTTTGAAAATAGTACATTTGAAAAGGAAGTTGGAGAGGAAAAGAGAGAGGTGGATGTAGTGTATCCCAGAAGGAAAACTATTATCAAATGGTGTAATTTTCAGTAATGTTCACAATGCAGATATTGTGATTTTTGCTCCTAACAGAGATGGTTCTCACTCAATCTAGATCATCTCTATGAGTAGACTTGTAAACCCTGAAAAGTTTTCAAAAACGCTATATTAAAGTCTATTGAGAATTGTAAACATAAACAACTTTTACTTACTTAGGGAGTCCATCTCCAGGTCTGAACCTTGGCATTGAAGGACAGTTGCCTTCCTCCAGGTTTTTAAGCTTGTTTGCAGACACTTTAAAAGCTGTGGTGCAGCTAATGCATCCCGAAATGCATAGTTGTGAATGCTGATTTTACATTGTTCCTTTGGATTTGTGGAAGTGCATGAAGCTGTACACACTCAAGAGTATCTTCAGTCCAATCTAATAGCCCATTTTCAATCTTGTTCTTTCCAGAAGGCTTGTCAGGTTGGTCTCAGCCTGTAATGGGGAACCATCCAATGCATCAGCAGTTGTCAGACCCGGGCACGTTTTCTCAGCATCAGCCAATGGAGAGAGATGATTCTGGAATAGTGGCTCCCTCAAACATTTTCCATCAACCTATGCCAAACAGTTTTGTGGATTTTTCTAAAGTAAGTCACAGAGGGATGAGTTTGGGCTGTTGAATGACAAATTACTTTTTTATTTGAAGGATGTTTTGTGCAGTTCAAGCCTAACAGATTGAGTTCATGATGCTGCATCTCTGTGATTGGTTCGGAAAATAACTGGAAAATTTGGAAAATGTGGGAGTTTCACTGTGCTAGTAGACATAGGAGTCTGTAGCATTGATTCTGAGAGACAAGTTTATTCTAGCAAATGTATTTTCTGTTTCGCTGCTTTACACTGTATGTCTGTGCCTCTTCTACCCTTTCTTGCTGTAACACCTAGATCTACTTTCATCCTAGGACTGTCTTACTGACTAGAAAGGATGCTAAGCCCAGAGGCACACTTAACCAAAATCAGAATTTGCAGATTGCAGATGTTTCCCTGTTTAGGCACTGGATGCCTTCATCAGTCTTTACTTTCCTTTCTCATAGACCCAGTCCCTTGGAAATGATAGCATAAGGCTGGCTGAGCTCTAGAGCCTGATTAAAGATAGAAACCATGTTTGTTTGAATGCCACAGGCCTTTCTTAAGAAAGTGACAGGTTGAGAAAAATACTTGCAAGTCTGCCCTTTGTGTATTAACACTGGAAAATAGCTGGAGGCAGACCAGCGTAGCCAAGCCATAATCAGCTCAGCCTCTGCTGGAGAAATGTCCGGTGCTATGGGCTTGACAGTGAAACTGCTTTTGCAGTGTGTTTTAGAAGTAGCTGTGGTATGGTTATCTTTGCTACTAGTAACTGGTTCCCTGGTGCTTGTGTTTTGTCTTCAGGGCCTACCAATTTCCATGTACGGAGGCACTCTCATACCCTCACACCCTCAGCTAGCGGATGGCCCGGGAGGCCCTCTCTTTAATGGGCTTCATACGCCAGATCCAGCCTGGAATCCCATGATCAAAGTTGTCCAGAATTCAACAGAATGTACTGATGCTCAGCAGGTAGTGTAGTTGCATTTTTCCATCTTCGTTTTTGCGGGGCTTTTTATGGTGTTATGCTTTGTTTTGCTTTTTTTTTTTTTTTTTTTAAAACAAGTTTTTTTTTCCTCTTTTTTTTTTATAATAAAAAGGATGTTTTGTTTTTTTTTTTTTTTCACCCATAACACGTGTGTTTAATACACATAGTGGTATCAATGTGGAAACTCTCAGGTAAAATGGTGAGAATTCAAGAATGCTCAACAGGGTAATAGCTCTTGTTGTAAGAGGCAGGGTTCACACCCGTGCTTGTTATCTTGCAGGTTGTCAGTCAAAACCAGGCCAGAGCTGAAGACAGCTCCCAGTGCTTGGACACTCTGGTTATATTTTAGGAGAAGCCTTAAGCTTACCCTCTAGTGGTTAAATTGGTCTGTTAAAGGAACCTTTATTTGTTTTCATAATAGATTTGTCTTTCTATTTCTTGCTGTAGATTTGGCCTGGCACCTGGGCACCTCACATTGGAAACATGCATCTCAAGTACGTCAACTGATTTAAGGGGTTTATCCTTTTTTAGTCTTGTTTGGGAAACCTTATGATTTGAAGAACCCTGGGGATTATTTTTTTTTTAATGTGCCTAACTAAGCAATTTTTTGTGGGCTGTGTAACAATGAAAACTTGATTGCCCATTGTATAAGAACAAATTGATTTACCTGTAAAATTGATTCCATTCTCCAGTTAGTTTAGCCATTCTGAACTTAAAAATGAGATAAAATTAATGCTTTTGGCTAAACTACTAAATGCTATTGGTATACAGGAGAGAACTAGATAATTATATGATTTCAACCTGCTAAGGTGGTAAATAAGTGTATAATTGTTTACATACTTGAAAGGAAAAGCTGAGTAAATTTCATGTCCCATAGTGGCTTTACTTTCTGTAGCCTGTATTAATGTGAAATATTTACCTGACTATTCAATAAAAGGTGAACAGTATTTATAGGTTGTGTGCGAGAATTTTGGGGAGGATGTGTATTGTCATTGGTAGCTGCCATGCCTAGTGATGCATCTTTTCACAGTCACATCATCAGCATGTGGTTGTAGTCAGGATTTGGGGAAAGAGGGAGAGGGTTTTGATGTGCAGTTATTAGTGATGCAAAGTTTGCTGGATCCTTCCTCTGCCAGTCTTGTTTTGGGGTGTGGTGCTTTTTCTTCTTTGTGGCCATGGTTATGCACTTTTCTGGGTTGGTTTTGTTTCCTCTAGTGCTGTTTTTCCAGATGTGTTGACTGAGGTGTTGTTCAGGGACTGACTTGACACGTTGGCAACAGTGGCGTCTAAATTTGCCATAGGTAAATCAGTGTCTCGTAGACAAATGCAGGGCTTCTTCACATCATTCTCCTACTGCCCCAAAGCAAATATTAGGAAAGCAGACTACTTTCTACTAGAGAAAAGATGTCATTGTGCAATTTCAAGTTTTTTGTAACCCCTTAAATCTGGTAAGTGTTCCTCACGCCTTTTCTGTGAGGAAGAAGAGGATTTTTGGATACAGCAAACGAGACAAACCCTCATTCTGCACCCAGCCTGATTCTGGTGTTGGCCTGCACTAGAGGCCTGCACTCTAGAGGCGTTCCACTTTGTACTTTCTGCTTTTGCTCAGTGATGATGCCGCAACTACACTGAATACTTGGTCTGTTTCTCCAGCAGGTAAATACCGTGCACAGTGTTCAGTAAATGGACTGTTTTTGATGGTCTTTTAGACCAGAAGGGAGATGGAAACTTCCCTACCTTTCTTCTTCCTCCTTCTGACCATTCCTTACCATAAAACATCAGAGTTTCTCCAGGAAGAGCGTGAGGAACAGCCAAAAGAGAGGATTCAGTGTTAATTTGCATGGAGTGAACTCTTGAAATAATGTAATGGTGTCTGTTCTCAGCCCCAGTTAACTCCTGAGTGTTCAGGAATATTAAAAATATGAAATGCACAAGTAGTATCCAAGTATGATAGGCAAATAAACATCAGAAACAACACTGGATGTGTTCAGATGTTCTATCTAGTATTCAAGAAGGAAATGATCTTACTGACACCCTGATAATACAAATATCAAAGGAGAAATGATTGTGTTGATGGTAATTGTATTAAAAGCTGATGGTGAAGGAAAAAAAATGGCATTCTAGTGCAATAGATTTTGTGCTGACTTAGCTGACTGTTCTTGGGTACCCTTGGAGGAGTTTCAGTTGTGACCTGGTGTTCAGCACCCTGCTTAGGAGCTGGCCTCACCTTTGCATTAGTGAAGAGCTCTGCTGTAGGCATTGTGATTGATACCTTCTGCTGGCCATCAGACACTGTGCAAGAGAGGGCAGAAAAGGAAGGCTGCCCAGACTGGCAGTGGGGTGTGTGTGTGGGGGGGGGGGGGTTGGCTGCTGCCCTGCTGTCCTCCTGCTGGACCAAAGCTGGGCTTTGTCTTGAGCAGGAGCAGTGCCCTCCATTGCTGTGTCCTTGCCTGCTGCAGGCTGCCCCAAGCTGGTCCCGGTAAGCCTCAGGCAGCTGTGCTTCTCTGCCTCACAGCATGGCTCTGGGTGGCACAGGAATGCTGTGGAACAGGAAGCCTAATGTTTTGTTAATCAGAAGGTTGTAGCTGCTGCTGAGGCCATCGCTGCCATCATGCTGCCTGTGGGAGCAGGCAGAAGCCTTGACTGGCATTTGAGGGTTGTGTTGGTGGGAGATGGGTTCCAGCAGGGAGCTCTGCTCTCAGACAGGGACAAGCTGTACTCTGGCACCCTGGCTTGCTGGAGCAGCACAGGATGCCAGCATAAAAGCTGCTCAGACCTGAGATTTTTAGCCTCAGGAGCTGGTTGGTACAGCTCTCACTCAGGGTGCCTGAGTTGTGCCCTATTAACTGTCATCCAACCCCCCACAAAAAACAACTCATAGCTGTCAAGCAGGCCCTTTTCTGGTGCCATCCCTGTTCTAGTCATGTTTGAGTTGAATGGCAGGTGCTCACCCTGTGGGCACTGGCTCCACTGTGTGCCATCAGTGAGCTCTTTTTAGGGCTGTGAGAGCCGGGTCTACAGCAGAGAAGGCTGCAGCGGGTGCCTGTGTGCCGTTGTCCTGCTGTTCCCATGCAGGATCTCTTGGCCACCCTGCTGGTGCCAGCTACATCTCTGTAGCTGTTGGAGCCTGGCACTAGAATTGGTACTTTTTGTAACCCTCCATCCTGCTGGGCCCTGGCTGCTCTGTGTGGGTGGCAGATATTGGATGGTTTGGTCTCTGAAATTGCTGGCAATTGCAGTGCAGGGTCTTTCCCCCCCAGCAGCACCCTGAGCAGCTGACAAGCTAGCAGCGTGCCACTGAACCCAGCACAGTGCACACAAGCATGGCCCGTGTGGCTGAGCTGAGAGGAGTGGCATCCCTAGGGAGCCACTGGGGGATGCAGTTTGTCTTTGCTGTTCAATGATGAAGAGATGCATCTCAGAGCCAGCTGTGCCTCCAGGCAGGGCACAGGACTCCTAGATGCAGGATGCAAAAGCACCATGATGCAGAAGCCTGGGCAAAACCCTGAAGTACTCTTGGCAACACAGAGTAGACTGGGAGCAACCCCGACCTGAGCCCACTGTGTGGGCTGCTGCAGGGAACCCAGCATGAGGCTGCTTTCTGCCTTCACTTGTCCTGCTGCATACTGTGCCTCCAGGGGGAAGGAACAATGTGAACAGTGGCTGTTGAACAGGATGGGATTCAACCTACTGCCAGCAGGAAATTTCACCACTGCTCCAAACTCAGCTGTGGCTCTCAGCATAGCTGAGTGCCACCCCCTGCACCAGGCTCAGGACAGAACTGTGGTGCACAGAAAAGGGGGCTGCAGGGGACAGCAGTGCCTGACAGCCCCCTCCTTTTGGCAGGTACCCACATCATCTACAACCGCAAGTTCCTGCTGGAGTGCAAGAATTCGCCCGGGGCCAGGACCCTTCCCTGCTGCCTGCCCCAGATCCCCGGTGTCACCTCCCTGGCCCAGTCCAGCCTCGTCAAGCTGGAGGAGCACAAGGAGCAGAATGAGAGTGAAGAGGCCATGCCAGGTGAGCAGCCCAGGTGGGTGGTACAGCCCCTGCCTAAGGGGGACCAGGCCAACAGTGCCTGGGGCATGGGGCTCCTGCCTGGCCACAGGGGCAAGGGTGGGAGATTGCAGCTCAGCCTTGGGCTGTTCCAGCCACTTGTCTGTATGTTCCCCTGCATGTTGGAGGAGCCCCATCCTAACCTGTGTCTGTATCCATCCATACCCTTACAGATCAAGACCAGTGTGACATGGACATCTGAGTTTCCAGCTTCATGTCTCCAGGCTGTGGCTGGGCCTGTTCCTGGGCCTTGTGGAGGTGCTGGCACCGTGACCAGCTGGCTGCAGCCCTCTCTGATGCTGGGGATGAATGTGTGACACCTCAGGCTCTAGCACAACTAGCTGGTGCAACTGCCTAGGAGCTCATGCTTGATTAATAAACACCATGAAACCCCATTGCTGAACTGATCTCTCCATTGGTCCTCAGTGCACCAGGGAGGGAGGCTTAGAGAATCTGAGCAGCGCTAGGTGACTTTTCAGAGTGCAGAGGTACCTCCCTTCTGCAAAGGAGATCCTGCACATGAATGTAGGAATTCAAGTTTATGTCAGCAACAGCTCCAACTACCTCAGCAGTACAAGCTAACATCTGGGCACAGCCCATTGTACACCCTTGCTGCTGCTGCCACTCATGTCCCTCACTGTCCCAGCTGTGGTTGGGGCAGTGCTGGCAGGCACGTGATGGAGTGGTGGGGCAGGGGCTGCTTGCTCTACAGCATCTGTGGAGCACTTGGCCTGGAGTGTCATGATGGTTCTACACCAGCTCTGAGGCTGCCTGGGGTGGTTCCCATTTCCCCTCTCCCGACGCTCCCTGCAGCTGACCTGGGCTCTGGCTCTGCTGCAGCAACTCACCCCCGTGCTGCCGTATCTGAGGCTGGAGGGGGCCAGTGGGGCAGGGACGAGCACCGCTGCTGTCACAGCCAGCTGCAGTGCAGCCTCCGTGTTACAGGGTGGAACTGCTTCCCACACTGGGCTTGCACAGCCTGCAACCAACAGCTGAGGCTGCTGCAGCCCCCACACAGCAGCTCTGTACCCAGAGAATGGGGTTGGGGACAAGATTAGCGCTGTTTATTGAGCATCATGTAGTGAATCACCACCGATATGTTGCAGTGATTAAAATTCCCCTTTTCTGAGAGAAAAGTGAGAGGCAAAAGCATCGCCCGGGTCCTGAGCTTTCCTCCTCCAGCCGCCCCGCTTAGTCCGCAGCTCCGGGTGGTGCGGGCATCTCCAGCCCGGGTGCGACTGTGTTGTCGTCCTCGCCCAGCTCGGCTGCGGGCAGGGTCCTGCACTCGGCGATCAACCGCTTGACGCCCACCAGCCACAGGCTCACCTCGTTCACGTGGTCCACCATCAGCGAGCGGTGGATCTCGTCGGCCGCGTCCCAGCGGCGCCGCTCCAGTTCTGCCGCGAAGAGGAAACCGTCGGCGTCCCGCGGCCGCTCCGCGCGACTGCGCTCCGGGCGCCCCCGCCCTCACCTCGCACCAGGAGGGCCATCCTTCTCCTTACGGGGGCCGACAGCTTCCCCTGGGCCCACGCGTCCCCGAGCGCCGTCAGCCGCCGCCCGATGTCATCGCACACTTGTTTCTGAAAGCAGCGGTACCCGCTGGACGGGGCTCCGCCGGCGGACGGCCCCGGGGAGGGACGGCGCCGGGGACGGCTGCGAGCGGAGAGCGGCGGGGCCTCACCTTAACGGCGGGGCGGCACGCGGACAGCGCCTCCCGCAGCGGGACCAGCACGGCGTCGGCGGGAACCTCCCCGTCCGCGGCACCGCCTTCCTCGCCGGGCGCGGGGCTCGGGGCACCGCGGGCGCTCGGGGCGGGGCCGGGAGGAGCCAACGGCGGCGCTCCCGGCGCCGCGGGGGGGCGGTCCAGAGGAGCACCTGCGGGGAACGGAGCGGCGCGGGGCGCTCAGGGCCGGGGCCGCCCGCGGGGCCGACGTCGCCGCCACCGCACGAGAGCGCCGCGGCCCCACCCTTCCCGGCAGTGCGGCACTGACCTGCGGGGGGGCCCAGCGGAGCGCTCGGCGCCCGGCGACTGAGCGGGGTCCGCCCGCGGCCCGCGGCCCGCGCCTGAAGCCCGTAGGAGAACTGCGGAGGGTCGTTCCAGCCGCGCTGCGCGTTCCCTACAGGAGGGAGAGGAGGCCGCGGTGAGAGACGACTCGGCACGGCACGGCTCGGCCGCCCCTCTCCCTCCGCCGCCCCCGCCCCGGAAGCGCATCCCCCCCGCGCCGCGGCCCTCACCCGGCTTCACGTAGAGCTCCGCCATGGCGCCACGTCACCGCGCCGCGCCCCTCCCGCTAGGCGCCACGGCGAGGCGGAACCGAGGGCGGAACCGAGGGCGGAACCGAGGGCGGAACCGA